TCGCTCTCTCTTTCTCTGTCTCCTTCAACTCACTCGACAGGGTCCGACGAAGCTGCTCAACAAGCCGGGGGAACAAGCATGGGACGGTGGGGGTGGTGTGGGGGATTGCTTGAACTCGCTGCCAGGTTTGCTTGAGCATCAACCTTCTGCTCATCACCAAACTCAGTAGCCGATGGGTTTGGCGAGGGTTGGAAGTGGAGGTGGTGATGGAAGTGCTGGTGGTGGTCGGGAGCAGGAGCTGGAGGTGCAAAAATGAGCATAAAAGCCGGGAACGAAGCGGTGGTTGTGCGACACGCAAGGGTTTCAACACTTTAAAGGGACTGGAAAGGCAAAAAAACTGAAGATTTACATGAAAGGGTCTCTAAAAAAATTTCTGCCGGTTTCTAGTCCCCTTAAAAGCGTAGTTTAGGGTAAAAACGGACTGTCGGTGTCCCGATTCGGTGGTGGTGACGGAAAACCGGCTGGGGAGACGACTTCGGCACGTTGGTCCTGAAGAAATTATTTGCGTTTTTAGAATTAATCGCTTTTATCTCTTTCATAGTAAAAAATTACCGGGCTAACCGCAACCACCTCGACCCCAACTTCCCGTTCAGCTACAGAGCTCTGCTCCGTCACATTTTCCGTCTCGCTTATCGAGCCGAGCGGCGCGATTTTAATCGGAGGCGCTGAAAAAGTATATTAAAAGTTTAAATGTTTTTTAATAAATAAAAACTCCAAGTCTGAATAAAAAAGTCTGAATCTTCAGGTAAAATCAAAACTTGAATTTAACCAGTAGATGGTGAGTAAATGTTCATCTCCTACCTTTTGGTGAAAACTCGGCATAGTCACTGTTGTTAAGATTATCAACCGACAGCGGAGAAAGCCCGCTTCGCGGTTCCCGATCCAGCTGTTCAAATGTGGGGAAGATGATCTTGGGCGGGGGATAGGCCGGAGGATCTCGAGAGGGTACCTTAAAATCGAAATGCTACCCTTGCACTAATAAAAAAGCATTTTCCAAAAATCTTACCGAGTACGCCGGTCTGGCCGTCGTCCTCGTCAAGTTCAGAGCGGTTGGGTCAAGGCCTCGGCTTGTTGTGGCTGTGATCACGATAGAGTCTTCTCGACTGATAGCCTCGACCTAAAGCGAAGGCTTTCGATCGGGAGAAAGACAATAAAACAAAATCGAAAAACGAGTTTGTGCCCCGCGGTTGACCTCCTTGCAGACGTCGTTGTGCATTACGCATCAAACCAACGAAAACGCGCAGAAATTCTTGCTCGAATTACGTGCGCAGTGCTCAGCTCACTTTTGATTACAGAAAACCCATAGTCCTGTCTTGCCAACCCCTTTAAAGAGCTTCAAATACCGGTGGGGACGTCGGCCTTCTCGGGGGCCAGTCGTGGCCTTTTCGGATGTAAATTCCGCTCGGGATTTTCTGCAAATTCGAGCCGCCAGGGGACTGTTGCTGCATTGTTACTGTAAGAAAATTTAGTGAAACTTTAGCGCTAAAAAAAGGTTTTAAAAGGAAAAAGTAAAAGGCGTCAACAATGGTGTTGTAGGTACAGTAAATCTAGATACGGTACATTCATCAAAATCCACTTGAAAATTCCTTAGAAAAAAGCGGCGCGCGCCGAACGGCGCGTCGCTTCCGGATGACCGGCGTGTGTGCACGAGTTTTTGGTGGTGGTGGGCCCACTTAGGGGAGGCAGCTCGGATCGAATTCGGTTGAAAATTGCACACTATAGGCCGACGAGCAATCGATTGGTGAACTTCAGCAGCAGATACCCCGAACTAACAAAGTATAAGCATTTTAGTTTTGCAACATTTGCAGATTTGTCGCCATACCTTCATAAGCCCTCCCCCTTCCGCTATCACCGTGGCCTGGTGGCCTAGTGGTGTGGTACGCGGCGTCTGGGGAATCTATCAAGGGTTCGAACCCGCTCACGATTTTTATTTTTGCTTGGTCCAAAGATTCCTCTTGGCATTCCAAAGACCTTTAATGGCTATGGAACCAGGAAGCGTTGCCAACAATAAAGCAGCTTTGCGAAAAATTTAACATTTTTTGCCTCTGCTCATGCCTCCTCAAAAAATTTTGGGGAAATTTTCAGAAGGCTGGCAATCTGCTTATCAACACTTTATCGTATCCCAAGCTGCATGAAAATAATCAAAATTATTTTCTTTGAACTGATCCTACTATGGTTACCTTGCCAACTCTCAAAATTTCCAAAAATTTTTAGGAGTGGAATTTTTTGCTGCAAGCGCTTCCTGGTTCCTGGTGAATGCCTAAAAAGCCATTAAAGGTCTTTGGAATGCCAGAGGAATCTTTGGACCAAAAAGCAAAAATAAAAATCGTGAGCGGGTTCGACCCTTGATAGATTCCCCAGACGCCGCGTACCACACCACTAGGCCACCAGGCCACGGTGATAGGGGAAGGGGGAGGGCTTATGAAGGTATGGCGAAAAATCTGCAAAATGTATGCAAAAACTAAAAATGCTTATAACTTTGTTAGTTCGGGGTATCTGCTGCTGAAAGTTACACCAATCGATTTGTCTCGTCGAGCTCTATAAGTGTGCAAATTTTCAAATCGTTGATTCGGCTGGACCATCCCTTGTTAGTGGGGATGGGCCTTCCGGTGCAGCCTCTACCCCCCCACCACCACCGATCCCTCCGGCTTCACCACCGCCTAACTGGCCACCACCAACCGATCCGCAAACATATCAGAGGCACGCGCCGCTCGCGCCCCCAGAAGAGAGAGAGAGAGAGAGAGAGAGGGGAGAAGACAGAAATACACACATGTCCCACTTCACCACGGACCCCTCCATCACAATCACATCAAAACCGGATGATGGAAAGCGTGGGATTAGCCTGCAAAAAATGGGTCCTGAGTGGAATTACGAAATTGGCAGCATTTTACGCTGATTTGGATACGTTAGGTATGGAGTACACTGCGGACCTTCTGTGAATTTCCTACGGTACGTACGTTACCTCTTACATACGTTACGCTAGCACAGGACGATCATACCATAGTTACGCCTACGCCAAAGTCGACAGTTACGGACGCACGCCCAATTAAGACAATGCTTTTTAGGACGAAACCAGCTCCGAAAAACCCGCTTTTCAATGCGCCAAAAATTAACAAAAAAAGGAAAATATCGATAAAATGATGCTTAAACCTGTTTTCCTAAAAACCGGTTCCTAAAACGCGGATTAAAGAACAGAAATCAGAATCAATTAAGAAAAAAGCACTAAAAAAGAAATACCCAACAACAAAATTCTGTCCGATATTTTATTAAATTCACATGGAAATCAGATCAGATATTTCCCCCGAAAAACGATGCACACAACGACATCCCCGGTCGCAAAAAAAGGTTAAGAGTTAGGTACAAAAAAAATCACAGAGCTATGTCACAGAAAAAAAAACTAATACATCGAGGGTTAGCTTCAAATTTCGGGCACAATCTGCGGTGCGATGAGCTCGTTGACGCGCGTGCGGACTCGGCTCGCGTATTCCGCGTCGATGCCGGGCCCGTAGCGCTCGTACTGCAAAAAACATCCGTAAATGCGACAAAAAACAATGATACCTGAATAATCGGGTCGAGCATCAGCGCCTCGCGCAGACGGCGCAACGACGCGGCGCAGCCCAGCGCGCTGACACGCACACCACCGAATTCTACAAAAAAAAGGTAATGGATGGGGTATTAAGGATTTAATACAGAGGATAGCGCTATGTACAACGACAAATCACGTACTCTGAGCACGAGAGTCCGGCAACGCCCTCAGCAGCAAGTCCTTGAGGCCGAGCTTCTCGATGAGCTTCTTCTCAATGTTGGCCAGCTGGGGCCCGACTTCTAAAAAAAGCCAGAATATAGGTAGGCCATAAAACTGATCCTTGTCAGAAAAATGCCGAATTTTCATAATGCCGAATTTTTACAATACCGAATTTTCATAATGCCGAATTGCGATATTCTAATCTAACGGAAATTTTTTGGATTTTCGCCTACAAAATAACCAAATTTTGCATCAAATAATCTGCCGAGTTGCAATTCTGTATTCGAAAAACTCGGCATTATGAAATTTGATATTATAAAAATTCGGTATCATGATTTTCCGGCATTTCGAAAATTCGGCATTCTGGCGATAAATCAAACACAAAAACCCACGCGGCAACTCGATGAGGAACGGGGTGTCTTCGTAGATGCGCTGGCCGCCAGGGCCCTGATGTCCCGCCTCGCCCATCAGCGACTCGAACTGCCCGGAGAAGGCGAGGCTGTAGAAGGCGCGGGCGGCGGTCTGCAACGATGAATTCAAGGAGTTTAGTGAAAAGCAACCTCATGTAATGGTATCCATTCGTCGCTGATCATAATCGAGTTCAGCCCAAATTCGTCAAACGCGAGCATCTTGCGGTTGCGGAATTTGCGACTGGCGAGTTGCTGAACAAAAAAATCATTTTTTATAAAAAATGCATAACCTTGAAGAAATCGATCAATATCGTGCCCCATTCCCTCGGCTGCAGTTCGCTGTTCTCTTCCTGAATTATTAGGTTTAATAATTTGGTCTACGATAATTTTGAGCGAATCTAAAATTTATTGGTCAAAATTTAAAGTTCGTTAGCCTCAATATAAAAAGGAAAATTAAGCCGTATGCATACCAAAATATTGCGCTGATTCTCAGCATACAAACATCCGGTGGCGTACTTGATGAAGAGGCACGACATGTGGATTTCCTAAAGGAAAAATAAAAGTTTCACAAGAACAAGATTTACGCGAAAATACTCCACATCCGAACGGCGTGCCCACTCGGACACAAAGTAGCACAGATCGAGGAGGCCTAGAAAAAAATGAAAACCAAGTAAAAAAGCAAGGCACCTTTGACACGCTTGAAAATGGCGATAATGGCCGGGTAGGGCTTGATCTTGCGGTAGAATGCGGTGACGCTTTCCGGGTGCGTTTGGGCGTAGCTTTTCACGTAGTTGCCGAGTTTCTAGACATTGTAAAAACTTAGTAAAACCGAAGTTAACAAATCACACCACGTTGAACTCCTTGGCCTGCGTTTCCTCATACACCGCTTCCATGTCATGCCGGAAACGGTCCTTCTTCAGGGCGACGAGCAGGTCCCAGACCAGCCACGGGAACGAGAGGTACAACGTGCGATCACCGCGCTGCTGCCTTGCGTATTCTAAAATCGGGACGTTCTCGAGTACCCCGAAAAACCTACCGTATGCCACCTTGTAGTAGGCGGTTGCTTTTTGGAGCATTGCGACCGTCGGTTGTTTGACTTGCCTAGAAGCAATAATTTAGCAAAAAAAAACAGAACTGACCTGTGCAACGGATGAGCTTCGTTGGCCCAGTGCTCTTCGTACGGCTCGGTCAGCATCTCGTAGTCGCCGATGTGATGGCCCTAAAATTTAATAACAAATCGATTTTAATGCACGATTTTGAAAATCGATTTTACCAAAAGTATTTTATCAAAAATCGCATTTTCGAAATGCTGTTTTCGAAAACAACTTTTTCGACAAGTAGAATTTCGAAAAACTGGAGACCAGAAAGTGAGAAATAGCAATTCAAATTTTTTGAAACTCTGGTTTATTATTTAGTTTTATTTAGTTTATTTAATTAATTTTAAATAATAGTTTATTTAATTAATTTAATAAATTTAATTATTTATTGATTTTCCTATAAAAATGATGCCAGCCAATAATCTAGCAAAATCCCCCACAAGTTCCGGGTCGATTTCGAAGAACTTGCGCCGGAATGCCGTCCACAGCTGGGTGATCTGAAAAGCCTTTTGAGCGCAAAATTGGATCTGTTACCGTAGACTCGATTGTTTGGCTGGTCGTAAAATAGGTGACTTGATCACCGTCACTTTCGGCCGCCTTGTTGCGCATCGCCATCACGCAGCCGGTGATGATCTCGGCGGCCGACGCGACGCCGTAATGGTCGAGGACGCGCTAAAAAAATCAGGGTTCAGAAGCAAACCAATTCTAACTATCTTACGCCAAGTAAATGCATCAAAAAAAACCTAGTTGAACGTCTAGAAAAACCCCAACATTTTTTACAATTAAAACGTTTAATGTTTAGAAAGATGGTCGATACCTTAATCGCCTGGGACCACTCAATAAGCCCGGCTTCCGCTTCTTCTTTCATATTTTCCCATCCAGGGTGGTTGAAAGCCGGATCGAGCTCGATGTTCACCTAAAAACATGTTATACAATGCCGAATCGAAAAGTCTCACCTCGTTATCCCCCTCCAGCGAGTCCTCAACAATCTTCTGAATCTCCTTGATACCTCTAAAAAACGTGGAATCTCAGCGCCCAAAAATCCCAAATTACCGGTAAACCATTCCGACGGTTCGTCGGCAACGATAGGCCGGGTCAAAGTCGCGGTGCATAAAATCCGGGGCTCGCGTGTATTTAGTGCCGGGGCATGGAGTGAAAAGTGTATCCGTCTGGCTCTCACTGAAATCGAAAATTTCGATGGATTTTGACAATAAGTTTTTAGAGTAGCAAGTAAAACCCGAGTGACTTTCAAAATGTCGAAATTCTATAATGACGAAATTTCATCCGAAAAGTCAGATTGTCAACATTTAGGTAAAAAGCTACCGGAAAAGCTGCGAAAGAAATTTCGATACGCAGAATTTAGACCTTATGAAATTTCGAAATGATGATAGAAAATCCAAAACCCCTACTCCTTCTCCCAATCGGGCGTCAATTCCGGGGCCGGCACGCCAGTTTTCGGGAAGTCGACGGCCATAGAGTGGAAGCGGGCCAGCTTTTCGGAGATCTGCAAAATTGATAAAATTTTGTTTCTTTCTGCCAAAATCTCTCCAAAATCCTGAAAAAAAACCTGTTTTTGCTCTAACTAATTTCCATTACATCATTTTGAGCTGAAATTAAAGCTCAGAGTAGATTTTTGGAGCCTGATCGAACCACGTATCTAAAATGCCAGAAAAAAAAAGTGAAAATGTCGAAAACTAGTATTTCACCCTTTTGTAACGCTTTTTTTTTGTTTTTTACTGTAACTTTTGTATATTACAATATTTTGAGGTGTCCTAAAAGACCATACCATCTTTTTCCAGCCTCTATCGAAGGACGTTCAAAAAACCCGAAAAACAGCGAAAATATGGAAAATTTTGGCGCTACTTTTGCCAAAAATTTCCGAAAGCCTCTCCCTACCGGGCTGAACAGTCCGTAGTGATCCGACTGGATGAGGTGGGCGATCGAGACGGTGCCGATCGTGTCGTGCGTCATGTAGTGGATCACGTAGTCGACCATTTTATGACGCTAAAAGCGCACAAAATCAATAACTAGCTACGGAGGCTTACGAAGGCATCCGGCTGCAGCTCGGCGGTAGTTTCGCATTGCTGCTTCGGGTATCGCATTGCTTGCTCGTTGTGGTCAAACATGAGATCGGGGTCCCAGATCACCGAATATTCATCACCGTCGAGATCGGAGCCTGAGAAACAATTTCTAGTGAGAGCGGGGTAAAAACAAACCAGCCATCTCATCGGGGTGCGGACGGGGGCCATTCCGAGGGAATACAATGACGTCGACGAGATGGCGAAGTTCGGGAATGTCGACAGCCTGCCAAAAAAAACATAGCATCGCCATTTTTCGACAACAGTTTTTTCAATGTTCTAAATTGAAAACAGGACATCCAAAAAAAAGGTTCTTGAGCATTAGTGGGGGGAGGGCGGCGGGGCGAAATTTTTTCCTATGAAGCCATAAATGCCCAACGCAATAACAAGTATTTTATTAGTCGTATTATTAAAATTTAACCAGATTTCGAGTGGAAAAAGCAAGCAAAAAGTAGGCATTTTTTTAGTTGAAATGTTGGTACAAAAATTTATACGTTTTGCGTTTGGAAATAGCAAAAAAAAACAGTTTACTAACGGTCCGTCTATTTATATTATTTTATATAAAAAAATATTTTCTCCACCCTCCTCCCCCTCCCCCGATAATGCGAAAGAACCAGACCAAAACAATGTCCCAAAAAAATCACCTCAAAAAGCCGCGCGTCTCCGTAGATGATCGACGGGTTCTTGGTGATCAGCACTTTTCCTAAAAACAACAAGCTTTAAAATCTAACCAAAAAAATACCCGTGTGAATGACTTTGGTACTAACGGCGCTCTGAATCTTTGAGCCTTTCTTGGAGTATTGGAAGAAGACCTAAAAGCAAAAGTGACGTGAAAATTGAAAAACACTACCTGACCATACTGAAGCAACCCGGTCTCGTCGACAACACCGAACATCGAGCGCCCCAGATCCATCGGGATCTCAATTTGCTCCTTGCCGAGAACGCGCATTAATGAGTGGTTGACGGTGGCTTTGATCAGGGAGCGGAAGAAGGGCTCTGAAGATAGGTGCATGCCGATCGTTTGGCTCATCTGCTCGAGGTGCATCCGGTTGGGGAGGTCCTGGAAGCGGAAATTTTTGTTGCTTCGGTGCTTACGCATTTATGGGGGGACCGAAATTTTGCCTATAATCTCAAATATGCCTAGTAAGATAATATTACGCATTTTAATAGCGTTTTCAATAAAATTCAACTATACTTCAAGTGAAAAAGCGGAAACGCGGAAAATTTAATTCGCTCAAAACCGTGGAAAATTTTTGAAACCTCAAATTTTCCGCGAAAGCCGAACATTGCTGCTCGAAAAAAAAAACAATATTAAGCAATTTTTGGTTCAAATTCGTAAGTTTTTTACGTTAGGGAAATACCAGCGTGGAATTGCTGCCCGCATTTATTTTAGGAAAACCCAGGTGGAAACGTTGCCCCACCCGTTAACGCGAAAGCACCGAATTATCTTGCTTCTCTTCCAAACTCCGAGGTATACGATAAATCACGAACCGACAGCCGATTCCTCGCTTCTCTTTCTTCGCATAGAGCATTCGCGCACCGAACAGCGTGGTGGTCAAGCAGCGTCAGAATGCGGCCCTGCACCCGGTCGTGCACTTGCTGGCCTTGATGTTCAGCTACCTAGAACAACAACAAAAATCCGCACAGCTATATTTCCATACTTGGCACAAAATGTTGATGAATGGACGGTTGAGGGAGACGGGCGACGGCCCGCTGAACTTGACCACCTCGAACTTCATGGACTCGCCGCTCTGGTGTTTGCGCGGGGCTTCGAATCTGGAAAATAAGATGGTTTCAGTACAATAGAATTCCTCACTTTTTCTGGGATTCTCTGAAGACGATGTTGACCTCCTTGGCTCGCTTTTTGCCTTTGGGGTCGGCTTTTGAGGACGGCTAAAAAAATTAAGAATTAAATTCCAAAAATACCGCCAAATCGATCGATTCCAAGAAGTTTCGGCCCCGGTCCATCATCGGGTCCATCACCAGGATGCCCTTGAAGCCGCGGTAGCGAAACTAAAAGTTATGTCGTTTTTAGAGGGCCAAAAATCGCACCTGGACACAAGATGGTGTGTGATCTTTGTAGCGGTAGTCGCTCATCGAGGCGATCTGAATGTACTAAATAATTCCGTTTGATCTCATTCGGTTATTTTATTACTGTTTATTACTTTCTTTTACCTAATTGAATTTCGATTCAACAATTTATATCTTGATCAATTGATTGATTAATTTTATTAGTTAATTAAACTTTGAAAAGCCTACCTTTTTCAGGTAGCTCTCCGAAATACGGCCAACCCCGTCGCTGAACGTGTACGGCTCCTCGGCCTTTAGATTTGCCGCTTCTTCCGTGGTTAGCCTAGAAAAATAGATCATTTTAACTTTTAACTCAAGCTTAAGTCAATTTAACCTTAACTTTTAAAACAAATTTTCTATAAAACAAATAAAATAAACACAAATGATCTTGAATTTAACCAGTTTTTAATAATAAAAACCCCACTTTTTAACGTCCACATAGTCCGAGCCGCCGAAATAGTCGGCTTCTTCCTCATACTGCTTGCGCGGCAGTTCGATTGGCGATTCCTAGGCCGAAAAACTCACTATAGAAGCTTTTTAAACCTTGCTCTGCGTGAAGCACTGCCCCATTCGTGCCACCATTTTCGCCACCGAGTTCAGCTTGTTGAACTGGCCGAGCGAGGCGCGGATTTTACTGAAAATTCGGGGGGTTTTTTGATGAAATTTTTCCAACTTTGCATCTCGATCGGAGCCCATGTAGAAGTAGGCGCCCTGATCGCGGAGCTGCGAGTTGGATTGGCCCAGGAACACGAATTTTTGGCCTGAAAGAGTTTTTTTTACATTTTGAATAGCCCTCCAACCTCCAACGACCGGTCCGTGCTCCAGAAAAGTCCCAACGCGTGCCCGAATGCCCTCGTGGCGCGCGATGGCACGCAAGAGACCGCCGTTGTCTTCCCTGAAATTGATGACACCGTTATCTGTTATAAATATACCTTATTTTGGGGTATTTTAGTAGTTCTGATCGCTAGGAAATTATAAGCTTCTCCCAAAAAAATCAAACTTTTGGACCGCGTTGGAATCTTTTTCTGACGCGAAAAGTCACAAATTTCGAAAAATCCTATCAATTGTTGAACTTTCGGAATCCTAAAGAGCAGCAAAACTCTATAAAAATCCTAGACGAGGTACGGTGTTCGAGAAATTGCAGTCACGCAGTGCAGAAAACGCTAATCGGGAAGTTCCTTACTTATTCGACACAAATTTACGTACCGGAAAACGACGCGGATCATCTTCTCCGCGTCCGGTCCGCCAAATTCGCGCAGCACGCGGTTGCCCATTTGCACCTCGGCGGGGATGTAGAGCATGCGAGTGGGCGTGATGACAATCTAAAAATTCCTAAATGGGAAGTTCCAAAAAATTGCACCTTTCGAACTTTCACATATCCCTCACGCTGCATCGCATCAGTGAGCTCACGCCGCTCCCTGGGGTGAACAAGCTAAAAAAACCAATAAATTTTCGAGTCTTCAATTTACCAAATGGTACAATTCGGATAAGCGCGGGGGGGGGGACCGAAATTTTTTCCGCCCAAGCCTATATTTTTTATATAAATAGTGGAAGTGTTTCTAAATTGTTTATAACTATTCCTAAACATAAAAACTTTACAAAACTTAATTAAAAAATTTTATTTTAGGTCGAAAAATCAATTTTTTCGGCCCAAAAATGACCAAATTTTCGACTTTTTCAAGCGTTTTTTTAACTTTTTAAAAAGTCTTTCCTATTCAAATAGGCTTAAATTTTGCTAAAAACAATGTGAAAACACTTTATATTTGATTACTATCCCCACCAGGGCCGACAAAAAAGTTGGTCCCCCCGCTTATCCGAATTGTACCTACCAAATACTCCAGCGCTTCGGCGAGCGTGCGATTCGGGTGCAAATCCTCCACACAGTCCACAAGGTCCTCCAGCGCGCGCTCGACTTTCTGAAAACCCAAAGTTAATAAATTTCCGAGCCGCTTCACCTCCGGGCCGCGCAGATAATTGAGGGCGAGGCTCGTCCAAAAATCCCCGTGCTCTTGCTTCAATTGGGGACGAAGAAGGCGGTCCTAAAGTAGGGTCCTAAGCAAAGTTTCTTTCAAAAGCTAAACTTGTTTTCAAAAAAAACCAGCTTCTAAACGCTCAAAAAGTACCTTAGCCGGGGCCCCGCGTGACATGACGGCTTCAAGCAAAAATTTAAGGCGGAACAGCCTCATTTCATCGCTGCCGGTTCCCTTCGATTCTTTGAGCACCTGAATTGCACAACGGTTTTGAAGAGCTAACCAAATATACCTTTTCGATGAGCAAGTTTTCGCCACTATCGAACAACGGCGTGTATGCCATAATTTTTGGATCTCTAAAATAAGGTGATGAAAAGGGATTTCATTAATTAATTTAATTTCGGCGGAATGAACGCTCTAGACGAAAAGCGGTTTAGAAAATCCGACCCGAGATCGTCCCTGTAGGCGACCAGCTCGTATTTGTGGTCGAGGAGTGTGTAGAAAATCGGCATGCAGCCAATCTGGCTCATTCGCCCGAGCAGTTGGTACAGCGTATCGTCGCTCATCTTCTCGTGCTAAATGTTTGGTAAAGCTTGCAAAAATCTAAAAACCAAACCGAAATCTCGACGCTAAAAATCGGCGACTCGCAGAGTGTGGTCGATTTGGGGAGCTCGCCCTCGGTGCGTCCGCGGAAGATGTAGCGCGTGCGCTCACCATCGCCTTGTCGACCGGCCTGTAAATTTATTGATTTAATCGATTTCATATTCAGTCAGAACTCATTCATTCAGTCTAGGTATCTATCGAAAGCTCTCGACGAGCTGATTTCGATTTTCGAAATTCCAGAATTTTATTACATTTACTAACCCTTATTTCGAAATGAACTGAGTTTCTGATCCTCATCCGATGAAAGGGTTTCTTGCAAAAGCACAATTTATCAATTTTTAAGCCTATTCTGGCAGCCCAATGACAGTTTTTTGAAAGGCATTTGCGAAAACCCAGCTTGAGCCGATTTAATTAAATTTTGGCAACCCCCCCCCACCCCCCAAACACCCAAAAAAAGAGGAAAAAAAAAAGAAAAATGCCATTTTGCATGAAAAATGCCGGAAATATAGCGACAACTCCTGGAATTTCGAAAATCGGTTCGATAATTACCTTTTTCTGGCGCTGCTCGGATATTCTGAAGATTTCTGGCGGGACCATCGTATGGAAGTGTAGATAGGTACCATCCGCAGTCTGCTCCACAAATAGTCGCTTCACGTTTTTGTAGGGCAGCTAAAGAAATCAGATTCTGGAATTAACAACAATACCCACCCGAATCGTGTACGTCATTAGGCAGCTTTTTCCATCCTTTCTGCCTTCAATCCATTGCAGATGGCTTTCGAGGTTGCGGTCGCAATCTAAAAGCAGAATTGCTGCCTGGAGACGTTGAGGAGTCCAGGTAGGTGAATGCCAAATACAATACGACATTTTGACACGGAAACCAATCAAAGTGTGCACGATCCGGGAAAACTAATTTGTGGCCGAAGTCCCTTTGGCAAAATGGGGAAAGCAAATTTGGATACTTCAAGCGTAAAAACCGTGAAGCTATTTTTTGGCGAAAGCCATCTCTCCTCAAAACGAAGTTTTCCAGTATTTTAGGCAACAAATCACGAGTGCACTTCTCGACTATCCACCTTTCCCCAGCTTTAGACGAGGCTTCACGGGCAGGCTTTTGTTTCTCCTGCCTCAAATACAAAAATAAACACCTTTCCCAAGAAATTCGCCGAATTCGAATTGAAAGAACAAAACATCGGCACAGATAATCTCCGCTTTGTCCAATAAGGACAAATAAAGTCGAATAAAGTACCGTTCGATTTTTCCCAATTCTGGAACCGGAAATAGGCCATTCCCTCGTCGTGCACGAAGGAGCATTTTATTCCCTCCTTCAAGCGCTCGCCATTGCTACGATAGGAAACCTAAAATTCAGAAAATTATTAAAGGGGCCGACGCAGACAACGATACGCGGAAAGGTCGCGCCCTCCCCGGGGCGCCTCCCCCTGTTGGCTACTTGCCAATTGTTGATGAGGGGGACGACACATGCCGTCGGCAGCCCTTTAAACCCAAGAAACCGAACCTCCCAGTGGAGCAGGAGTTGGCCACGGTTCGCGAAATTCCCGTAGTAGATGGCTTCCGCCGGGAAATCCAATGGAGGCCTGAAACGGAATCGAGTTTTTATTTTATTTTTCCTGCTTATAGGAATAATCGAAAAACCGATAGCATCCAGAGCTTTAAAAAATAATATATCACTGACCCCAGTTGTCGGCAGAACACAGTAGCCGACGGGATTTCGATCGTGGCCGCGAGATGGAAATTGGCCTCGAGATCGGGCCAAAGTAGGCCAAGGTCCAGGATAATGTCCGAAAAGGCAATTTGCCACTCCGGGTGCTCTATCTAAAAATCGGCATCCTAAACCACCGACCGAAACGTACGTCCGCATACACCTCGGTGTCCTTGCAGCCGTTGAAATCTTGCTTGACCACACGATCCGAGTAGCCCTTCAAAACGGCCCCATTTTCCTCGCAAACTTTCTAAAAGAAGATTGTGCATTATCAAGTAACTTTTACTTACTTTTATCTGACTTTCCAGAAAGTAGCCATCCGTTTGAGCGTCCTGGGCAAACAGGAAATGAAAGCGTCCAACCTAAAAGTTGGTTCTCGAGCTCCAAACGGCTAACCGTTGTTGGTGGCGGTAGGTAGATGCGATTCGGATCCATTTGTTTCGCCTGGAAAATACTAAATTACTTTTAATAGATTCAAAATCGACTAATAGGGCTCTAGGGACCAAAAAGACCTCAAAAACCTACCTTTTTCGGGACCAGAGCGGCCGTTCAATGCAGGGAAAAGTGGGAGTTGTTCATGATTTTTCGCTTACTCGATTTTCAGCATTCTCGAAAATTTTCAGCCATTTTTGGGCGGAATTTGATCGCGTAAGGTTATTGGCGGGCGAGAGAGTGGGGAAGAAGCGGAAGCGCAGACGCGAGGCGGTGTATTTTGGCCGCGTAAGCAATTGGTGACGGGCCGGTTTCGCAAGCTTTTCAGTAGCGCACCCGCCCTTGCTTTTCCTTGCATTGATCGCCCGCCATTGCGCCCGTTTTGGCAAAACATTTACGACAAACTGACGGCTAATATAGGCTTCTTTTGACCTTTTCTAGCTCTTCTTCATAAACATTTACAGCCCAAATTCCTCTGCTTTTTTCTTGACATTGCTCTATTCAGCAAATTGCGATTCATAGCCCTAAGATTTCCTAGATCTATTGCTTTTCGAGCTTCCCCGCTTCAATTTAGGCGTTCGTTCAATTATCTCGTGTCATCCTAAATTCTACACCTGAAAATGTTCATTTTTTCAGTTGCCAAAATGTCGAACCCGTTCCACGACTACAACTCGCAGCCCATCAAGTCCTACGCCAGCCACGCAATCGAAGACGATGCGGAATACTACGAGAAAGAGATTGAAAAGTGCATGCAGGAGTCGCTGGCCAGCACCGAGCGCAGCCGGCGCAACCTGGTCGACAGCGAGCAAGTCGGGCTGAAGACGGCCGAGGACTTGCGCCTGCAGCGCGAAAAGTTGGAGAAAACGGAGCGGAATCTGGATGACATTCATCGCACGACGCAGCAAACCCAGAGAAGTCTGAACAGCCTGCAGAGCTTCTTTGGCGGTTATTTCAAGAACAAGTTCTCGAGGAAGCCGAAGCCGGTCGAAGCGCAGCCAGAAGCTCCGCCGAAGAGCGCGTCCGTGAACAACTTTGCGTCATTTGGAGGGTCAGGAGGAAATAGCATGGGTAGCAGCTCGACGGGTACAGGTATGCTTTTTTGCTGTATTTGAGTTCTGGATTGTTAGTCGGGGTGGAAATATAGTTTGCGCCTAGCGCCCCTTGCGGCGTAGGATGAAACAGACTTTGTTTTACCAACCGTTTGCATAGTTTTACGTTTAGAAAGTTAAAAGAATGATTCACTGTTCAAAAAATTTTATAGCCTTGCTGTAATTTTTTAATTTTTGTTAGTGAAAAGTTACTAAAACCGCTATAGCACACGTGATGACACCTAGAAGTTTTTCTGCTTAGTATAGGCTCGACAGCTCACCCGCTAAGAGTCCAGAACCCGATTCTCAAGCGTACCGGAGAATTTTTATAACTTTTCCATTTCAGGCGGACCGACACTTTCTCAGTCTTCGATGAACGCGATCAAGGGCTCCCGCTGGGAGGCGATGGACAACCAAATCAACGAGAATCTCGACGGCATGTCCTCGCAGTTGGCCAACCTCAAGAATCTGGGCGTGGCGCTGGGCCGTGAGGTTGAGGATCAGAACCAGCTGCTCGACCGCATCCAGACGAAGGCCGAGCGCAACGATGTGGTCGTCCGCTCCCAGGACCAGCAGATGAAGAAGCTCCTTGGCGGTAAATAATTATAAAGACAAAATTGGGCCCTTAATACTCTCTTCGTTGATAGACTGCTGTGAATTTTGCCCGAAAATTTTGGATCTTTTCGGCTGTGATACTTACCTTTTCCTGGTCACTTATTTGTGCATAATGGGTTGTGGAGCGGCGCGCGCCCGCATTTTAGTCATTTGTATTGCCCTTTAAAAATGCATTGATTGCCAAACTCCCCAATGCCTTCACTTTCTTTGACTACTCGCAATTTCTTTCATTATCTGCTCATTTCAGCCACCCGTTTTTGCGATTTCAACTCTGTGCGGAATAAAACTGTCCATTCGCAGCGCGCTTTGCGTGTATTTGAAGATTCGGTATTTTTCAATAACAGTCGATAACCCGTGCTTTATTATCACCAGAGCGCCAAAAATCGGGGCGACGCCGCACGGGATCACAAATGCATACGATGTTTTTAAAAAAGCATGGCATTCCGGGGCTTTAAATTGTCGGCGGCTTCAGGGACGACGTTTTAGACGCTGGTGTCGGTGTCGGGCTTGTCCTGCGGCTCCTCCTCATCGCCCTCCTACAAAGAGAATTTTTGCAAGGCCTTCCGAAAAGCTCTAGTGCTTTTATAATTCAAATATATTTTTCGTAGCTACCTCCTCATCCAGCAGCTGGTCCCCCATGACATCGCCGGCCCTGAGGAAAAAGCAGGCCCCGCACGACTCTGCAAAAGGTTTGGACTGGTATAATTTGAAAACTTACTGTCGAACGCAGTGACGCTGGCCGGGTCGTCGGCGGCAGCGCTAAACAAACAATGTTGGCAATAACTGCGAGAAAAATATGGACTTGCGCTATTCAAAAAAAAAGACGTTACCGATCCTTGCGGTAGCGGCGGCACGTGTTCGACATCCTGCAGGGCGGCGTTCCCAGGCCGCAGCTGTAAAGAAGGATATCAAAATTTTATGTTAAAGAGCTTACTGGTGGACCGGGCACTCGTCCCCGTGGATGTGGTCGGCGTTGTCAGCCTCGTCAGGCTAGAGAATGCAGTGGAATTTGAGTGGTAGGGGGGCTGAACCTCGGTGAGCTGCTTGACGATGCCGAGATCCTGGGCGCGGGTGAAGATGCAGGCGGTGCACGTGCCTGAAGAATTTTTGGTTGATTTCGCAAATCGGACACTGACCGTCGATGCAGTTGACGCTGGCCGGGAACTCGGCGGCCGCGCTAAAATTAGGCATTGAAGCTTAAAAGCCTTACTCGGTAATTTTAGTTTTACTAGTTCTAGCGGTTTCTCGTGTTTTTCTGTCGTTATCTATAGCGTTTTTGATTACTAAATGCCTTCGAAACGGATTTAGTTTGATTAATTGATAGAAAAGATATAAAATTTCCCAAATTTTGGCCATCCACAAACATTTTCTGACCAAAAATTGAAGTTTTTTGGAAAATTCTAGTGATTTTGAAAAACTTTCTATATGCTTAAAAACGGCGTAGAAAGCTACAGAAAATGTTGTTTATCGAATTAGTCGGAGCTACGGGGCAACAAGTTAGTCCCCCCACTAATGGCCCAGTACCGACCGTTCCTCGCGGTAGCGCTTGCAGGTGTACGCCCCGTTGCACTCCTTCGGCACCGACAGGTTGCACCTAACGTAAGTAGAAATTAAGTAAAAACGAAACAAGAAAAGAATAAAGTAAGCAGAAAGTAAGAAATGAACACAATATACAAAAGCTACGCCTAAAACCCTACATGATGTTGCTGTAGCATTGCGAGCAGATCATCTGGCTGGCGATGCGAACGAAAGTGCCGCCAACTTCGGACGCGCAGCCACACGTGGCGCACTAAACAAGCCGGCAGACGCTTGAACTTCTGGAAGTCGCCGACCTGGACCACCACCTGGTCGCTCTTCTCGTCGAAGAGCATCGGCAGCAGCTGCTGAAAAGCGAAGAAAAATTTGCATAAATTAATAAATAACCACCGGAAGCGTCACGAACATCCCCTTCACGTGGCCGGGCATGTCGCTGCGAGTCGGGGTACGTTTTGGGGGAATGATTGGATTACCCGGCTGTAAGGCTAGATCGGTATGTAGCATTTCCGGTTATGCAAAACAACATTTTACTGAAAGTGGATTTAGAGGAAATCCCTATCACCTTTCCTAAAAGTCATCTTTCCTGGAAGTCATCTTTCTTAGGTGCTTTTTCCTAAAATCACTTTTCCTAAAACTAGGTAATCCTTTACTATAATTTTTCCTAAGTAACTTTCTTTAGAGTTTTTCCTGAAATTAGTAGGCGAATAGTGATGCCACGGAAGCTTAAAACCTGCTTTCTGTGTAGAAACGGCAAAAGGCGTCAATCTTTTTGAAAGCTCTTATTGTTAGTTGCGTCTGAGACTACCATATTTTTGGTTTTCTGAATAGTTTTATCAATTCATAGATAACATAAATTTAATAAAAACATCGCTAAAAATCGAAGCACGGCGTGGTGACGCCCGGAGGGGAGCTGGGAGGGGCGGATATTTAAGCCCGAATAAAAACAACCCAAGATCAAAAATAAAAATTGATAAGCGCAACATACAAGGCAATCACAACAATGAAGGATTTCGCATCAACCGCCAATTTCGTCGTGGTTTCAGGCGTCGCAGTAGAGGGCTCAATTTTGGCCGCAAAATACAATCGCAACAAAAATCCGGTTCCGCTGGAATTCGTGGGGGGATTGTACCATTTCACCTAAAAACTGCTCCTCAGGCGCTGACCGGCCAATTACCTCAATTCCACGCACCGCGGTGCGCGTGAAGCTCGAAGTCGTGAAGTTCTCCATTGTGTAAATGATTCTGAAATTTCAACGGATTTTGAAATTCTGGATTTGCCGTACAACTCGTCGTCGGAGGCTTTCGGGCTCAAGCTGAATACGGTGATCTCGATCTGGCCAGCCTTCATTCCGATCAGTTCAATCCTCGCATCGACCGGTTTTCCTAACAATGGAACGTTGCCAAGTGGATCGATCGATCGATTAATGAGAGACCCCACGTCTAGCCCAGTTTCTTCGTCTAGTTTTCACGCTGATTGCGAATATGAAGCCAGTTTTTGCCACAGAGCTTCCTTTTGAGATAAACGGCGTTTTTTTGTAGCTTCGCGGAATAGCGGCCAAAACCTTTGAAATTAACAGACCATATGTAAAAAATTCTGCGATTTCCGTTGCAATCTAGGCGGCTTTAAACTACTGATTTTACGATTCTGAATAGCTGACATCGCACCGGCCTGTTTGCGCGGATATGGCCACCAGGAGCGCTGACCTGGTATGCGTGGTTGGTTCATCGGGGAGTCGGCGGTCATTAAGGTGTAGGGTGAGAGTTCAATCCCGCCACACAAAAGCGTTTTAGCTTTTTAGCTTCGGAACGCTCAGTTTCTATTGTAAACGCTTTAGAAAGGAAAGGAACCGAGGGCCGTTTTACCAGCAGCAAACCGGATTGCATGAGCGTAAAAAACTGGTCTAAAATTGGGGTCTCTCACTAATTGATCGAAATGCCGCTTGGAAACGTTCCTTTATAAGCAAACCTTGCAGATGAAATAATACTTACCACCGCAGCCCCAAGAATTATAATAGTACAGGCTCTGGTTGGCCACAATATGGTCATTGAAATAGCCCGGACCCTCAGCAAATGCTGCTCCGTTGCAAATTTTGTGAGGCATGACGTGAGGCCTGAAAAATTTAGGCAAACATTAAAAGAGCATTACAGGTCGAAATCGCCCAGAAATATAGTTGGTTGGCATCCGGCGGGGATGAGAATCGAATAGAAACTAGATACGAGCAGCTGCGGCGCGAACTCGGTGCTGCTGTCGCTGAGAAACCTTGGTCTAACAGATATCTACGGTGCAAACTCACGATAAAACCATCAATAGATTTTCGGCCCGTTTTTCCCTTGTTTGAGGGGCACCGGCGTAAAATTCATATTGGCAAGGGGCCACAGGTCTTTCCTGAATAACAGCCCGGTAAGACTTTACTTTACCACCCACCCCCCTCACAGCCGAGGGGTCTCAAAGTTTTCGGCATTTTCGCTTAATTTGTCAGGATTTTTGCAAGGCCATTCGATAGAGCGTCGAAAAATATCCTAAGAGTTTTAATTTAAGCCTACAATAATGTAAAATAAAAAAGTTATAGCCAAAATCTTCCGGCTGGGGGGGGTGGGCGAATTCAACCGTAGCCAAAAGCCTGCTATGAGGATGTCAAAAGTTACCCATTCGAACCGGTCAAGCCACAGTTCGGCTAGTTCATTGGGATCCGGATGTGCATTTGTGATGATTAGGAAGGTGTCATTGTGGCGGTTCAGCGGCACCCGAAGCACATCATCGTCGGTGTTCTTGCCTGTCGCTACGAAGACCAGCATTTCTGAATGCGTTTTGCGATTTTGTATCTGTCCGGGCTCGGTCGACAACATTTTTATGGTGCCAAATTTAATAATACCGATGTTATAATTCCAAATATTTCATAATCCCGAACTTTCATGTTTTCATGCCTCCAACGCCAAATTTTGGTGCTTCCGAGCTGAAGCGATTGCAACAAGAGACACTCAAAAAAACACTCCAATGCGCGCATTCTGAGCCCATTTTTGAAATCCTCACTCAATTTTAAATAGTTTTGGTGTTTTAATCATGAAATTTGGCCCAGAAACAGCCGAGAACGTGATTTCGAGGTGACAAAGGCAAATTCAAATTTGCGAGCTTCCCGGTTGGCTGGGTGTACAGAGGTCTCCGACGTACCGGGCTACGATTTTCGGGCCGTCCTTCAATTTTTGGCATTTCGTAGCCCCTTTAAAAAATTGCTCCCCCGCTAACACGGAAGAACCCGAATTTTTGAGATGCCGAATTTCTGAAACTTCGAATTTTTATGACCTACCATCCAAAAATTCTACCAACTGTAGCCCTAGTGTAGTTTGAGTGATATGTGTAACTCCTTCAATGTACATTGAATGGCCCTTTGCCACGTTTCTAATCATCCTGCAGCAGGTGTACTGGCGGTTACCGATGAACCTAGATCCGAAATCTGGGAATGTCCCTGTTGGCCCACTCAATCATTGCCACACAGTCCGCTACGTCCGGTCGTTTGTTGTCAATAATTAAAGGGAAGTCATCATGTTGGAAACGGTCGTTAATGGCGCAGGTGGTAATCGCCACCCGGCAATCCTGGCAACCCTCCACGCTAACGTTTTGCGGGCGCCGATATGGCGGTGAATCTGTAACATTTTGCTGAACTGCAAATGTATCGTGTCGTACCGGAAAAGATCCATTGCCCAACCATTGCTAGCGCGGGAACCTCGGAGCTTAAAATTACATTGGCCTCCTCAACGCGCGCCCGAACGGATGGCTCAGTCCAAAGAAGAAAACCGGGCTCTACAGCGTCGACATCAGGGATAAATTCAATCTATTTTAGCCTATTCGTTGAAAAAGAGATTTTTACGTCGAATCCGCGCAACACGTCCAAAGACAAGATTTGTCGGTCCGCTTGAGAACTGATACTAAAAACCTCTTCTTTATTGGTGTTGGCAGTTAGCGGGGATGGTGGCTTGCTATGTTAAAGGGGCACTGAACTGCCAGGCCAAAGCCCTTACGCGGATTCTGAGCTCATTTCTGAAATCCTCATACAATTTTAAAGATGTTTGGTCTTTTAATCAGCGAATATTGGCCAAAAAACAGCCGAGAACGTGATTTGGAGGTCCAAGGCAATTTCAAATTTGCGAGCTTCCCGCGCCCCTGGGCTTACGGAGGTCTTCGGCGTACAGGGCTAGTTTTAAAGGGGCTAGGAAATGCCAAAAATTGAGTGACGGCCCGAAAATCGGAGCCTTGTACGTCGGAGGCCTCTGTACGCCCAGGGGCCGGGAAGCGCGCAAAATTTGAAATTGCCTGTTCTCACCTCGAAATCACGTTCTCGGCTGTTTCTGGGCCAAATTTGTTGATTAAAACACCAAAACTATTTAAAATCAAGTGAGGATTTCAAAAATGGGCTCCGAATGCGCGAATTATAGTGTTTTCACAAAGAAACCGGGCAAAAACAACTTCGCGCAAAATCGAAAGATTGAGGGCCCTTGTCCCGCAGCGCCCGCTGGCAATTTGCCAGAAATCAAAGAGCCCTCCCAAAAGGGCTTTGATTTGGCAGTTCAGAGCCCCGTTAAAGAAAACTAAGGATACCTCAAGTTGAAAAGATCGCCACTGAGGTGTAGAACACCTTCCTGGACACGATCGACAGTTACGTGTAGCAGAAGCGGATCTGTTAAAGTATGGCGTCGATTTTCCAATGTGCTCCCCTTTACCGGAATCCGGTTTTGAAGCGTGGAAGCTAATCGGCAAGCCATCCGATTCGTCGAAAGCCCATGGGTACCTTGGATAATTGACGACCATACTAGCAGACTCGATTGTTTTGAAATGGACTATTCAATAAGAAAACGCGCGGCGATAGCTGGTACCCGGATTCCAACGAAAATCCACATGCACAAGGTTGGAACAGTTTGCATTGTTGTTGACAATTGTTGCGGCCGTCGCAAAGAAGCCAATCGATTTGAACATGGTCTGTAGTGTCCTAGAATTTGAATCATGGAATCGTCAAAGCTCGGAACTCACAACGTATCGAGGATCAGGCTATCTTTGTTATATTTTCTTCCTGGCTGCGATCCAGCGAACACCGAATAATCGCCTTCTAGTAATCTGCACTGGTCCTCGCGGGATTGGGTGAACATGAAGCTCACAAAAGGGAGCCCTCTTGGATCAGAGCTGAAAATATCGGTTGGTAGAAAAAACGGATGGCATAGCTAAAAACTCGGCACAGGTCAGACTCGAAGTTTTTATAATAAAAACATTTTTAAATGTGTTTTTCCGGTCCATAAAAAAGCTCCTCGTATATTTTTTCGGCGCTTTGTCGAATAGCATTTACAAATATCGAAAATATTCAAAACGCCGAAAATAGGTTCCCCCGTTATGCTATGCGCTGACCATAATTTCAACCAGTTTTTGTGCTATAAGACTTTTATCGTTCGTTTTTCCTGCGGCAAAAATCTTGTAGGATATTTTTGACGCTCTATCGAGTCACGTTCTGACATTTCGGAAATCGCAAAATCAAACTTAAATTCTCACTCGTTTGGCTCATTCCAAGAGATCGACATAAAGAGATGCCCAGGCATCAGTTCCATCTCATGCGGCAGGGAATGAGCATCCTTTTCGATTTGTGGGAAGTAGAGGATGGGTTTTTCTTACAAGGAGTCGTTTTTCGGGTGTTAACCAAGTTTTCTAATCGATCTAATCGAACCTAACCAGATCCATAGAAACAAAAATTCTGTGCCAGATCGCTTTGCAAAAACTCGAAGACTCGACTCGATCGATAAAAGTTAACTTTGGTATAAAAATGAGGATACATAGCCTTCACGGTAGTGAGGTTCTGTCTTCACTTTTTGCAAATTATTTTCTAGGTTTCAAACCTTTTCTGGCTTTTTGCTTTCTGGGGCTCCTGAAGTCGTCTTCGGGGGCAAAAAAAAGTAAAAAGCAAAACTTTACATTTTCTGGGAACCAGAACTTTTAAACAACAAAAAATCGTTTGTTGTTTAATTTAATTCGCGGGCACGCTACAAATGCGGCAAGCCAACTAATTTTAAAATTAAATTCTCTCGATCATAATGCCATTTATCAGATGTTGTAAACGGGATCCTACACAGAATTTTTTCTCTACCGACCCGGATAGGTCGCTACCGAAAACTCGATTCACACCCAAAAACGGCTCGTTGTTAAATTTTTGTTAAACAAAAAACACTGGTTCAATTCAGCTTGAAACCCACCTTCGACCCATTCAACGACCCGAATATGCACCGCAAAATCTTGTTTATCGCCGGGAGTCGTTGGTAAAAACGCAATTGCTATGGCGCTGGCGTTAGCCGCGTACGAGCAGACAAAAATGAAATCCAGCGAGTCGACATTTAGCGGCCTTGAACGGGTTTAAGAAATGTTCCCCCGGACCTACTGCATATTCAAGCAATTTTCAACAGCGAGCAATTTGCCATCGATCGTTACGGGCAGGGGATCGTGGCAAACAACACGTTCGTCATGATTGACAATAATGTTGTCCTGACAATACCATGAACTACTGTACCATCGAAAAATACCGGATTTTCCTTTTGACAGTAGCGAAAACTAACGTCGACCTGTAGCGTACAGCTCTCACAACCCTTTACCGTAATCTTTTGCTTAGACTTCAAGTTGCGGCCATGAATCGCGTAGGTGGGGTTCTCTTCGGTCAATTGAAACTCGACCCTTCCGCCCGCTCCGGAAAATTTGCAAAAAATCGCCAGGCATACGGTAGACCAGAGTATTGCGTGGTGCATCTCGGGCACCACCGACGTGACTGAGTGCGGGCACAAGGCTCACGAAGTTCCTACGGTCGCCGTGATAAGGGCCGGCTTTTTAGGTTTTTGAGGGCCCAGCCGCCTGGATTAGTGTTCCGTCGCAAGGTGTGGTGGCGATTAACCGTCATCCCATGTCGGTGCATACCGGTGCTCAGGAGGTTTATGTCAAGAATGATGAGCCAGCCGGCTCAAAAAGTGATCAGTTTGCCTGGTGAAATGGAAACCATACCACAAAATATGGCTAAAAGTTGCTTAAAGGTCCATTACACTATCGTTGAAAAATATATGATCTTATATAGGTCAACAACTTATCACTTACGGTAGGTGCTAAACGTGGGGGCAGGGACGTAGCGTAATACAGGCCCCGGGGGCCCGGGCCCCCGAAATCGGCCGGGGCCGAAATCATAGGGGGCCCACCTGCCGCGGCGCATTTTCACGTTTACGGCTATTTGTGGCTATGTAACCCAATTTGCCTGCGGCGTGTTTTTGGGCACTGTTTTGGTTTTGGATTTTTCGGGGCCCCCGATTCTGCGCCGCGGGGGCAGAACCGAACCAGGATCACTCGCCCTGGGGCAAGCGCCTTGAATTCAAACCTAGCTTACGTGATGCGCAGGATTTTACGCTGATTCCAAATCCGTTTCCAAAAGCTGGGGACGGATGATTAGAAAAGTTAGAGAAAAGTTAAAAGAGCGTATTTTAGTGTCCTGCAATGAGAATACCTTAACTGCAATGCCCCATAAAAATCGACAGAAAGCTATTCCGGAAGTGTTTGATAGCAGGTCTTACTCAGAAAAACATGGACTTTCAGAAGGGCATGTTAAAAACCAGGGAATCAAAATTGTCGAAAATACTTGGTAAAAATTTTGGCAACTGATATTTTCAAGGGGTTTCATTTTCATTTTCATTTCAAGGGCCAGATGAGGTCAGGATGCAAATTTCTGCCAAGATTTTGGCAACTACATAAACGGCTTTATTAAAGCAACACCTAACAGCAAATCACAGAGAGTAATGAATTTGCATGAATGCAGGAACAGTCGATAACCCGTGCTTTATTATCAACACAATGCCAAAAATAGGAGCGGCGCCGTACGAAATCACAAATGCATACGATGGCTTTAAAAAAGGGCGGCATTTCCGGCTTTAAATTGCCGACGGCTTCAGCGATGACGTATTAGACGCTGGTGTCGGTGTCGGGCTTGTCCTGCGGCTCCTCCTCATCGCCCTCCTACAAAGAGATTTTTTGTATGGGTTTCTGGAAGAGTTCAAATGTTTATATATCATCAGAATTATGTTTTGCGTATATACTACTTCTCCATCCAGCAGCCCAGCCGCCATCACATCGCCGATCCTGAGCATGTAGCAGGCCTCGCACGCCTCTGGAAAAGGCTTGGTCTGGTACAAACTGAAAACCTTACTGTCGAAGCCCACGACGCTGACGAGGTCGGTGGCGGCAGCGCTAAACGATAATTTTAGGGTGTGGTTTGCCCCGCCCGCCGGCGCCCCTTTTTTTTTTTTTCCCTTTTTCTTCTCAGGTGGGTGGAGTTTTATAATCTTTCCTTTTTGTTTTGTTTTTTTGTTTTTTTTCTGTGGGGGGGGGGGGTTGAGGCGGGGGGGGGGGGGGGGGGGGGGGGGGGGGGGGGGGGGTTGGCGACGTTGTTGAGTGCGACAATTAGAGGTTTTGCGTTGTTTTGAAAACATAATGCTACCGATCCTTTCGGTAGCGGCGGCACGTGTTCGACATCCTGCAGGGCGGCGTGCCCAGTCCGCGGCTGTATCAAAAATTTCAGCATTTAGGCGAAAAAGCCTACTGGTGGATCGGGCACTCGTCCTCGCGGGGGTGTTCATCGACGACAGGCTGTAAAATGAGACGTGGTTTGATGTTTTCATAACAGTTCTGGAACCTCGGTGAGCTGCTTGACGATGCCGAGGTCTTGGGCGCGGGTGAAGATGCAGGCGGTGCACATGCCTAAAGAACCATGGGTTGAACCGTGGAAAATCGAGAACTGACCGTCGATGCAGTTGACGTTGGCCGGGAACTCGGCGGCGGCGCTAAGATGAGTTTGAACTCTAATGCACGTCAAAGAGTTACCGTTCCTCGCGGTAGCGCTGGCAGGTATAGCTCCCGCTGCACTCCTTCTTCTCCGAGAGGTTGCACCTAAAAAGGGTAGGAGCTATAGGCAAGGAATCAAGGGGGTTTAGGTCTTTTGGATCTACAATTGAGCTTACAATTAGAAAAATGCACAAAAATAATCTAAAAAGCCCACATGATGTTGCTGTAGCATTGCGAGCAAATCAACTGGCTCGCCACACGAACGAACGAGCCGCACAGGTCGGACGCGCAGCCACAAGTGGCGCACTAAAAACGCCATTGGCTCAGCCGGATCTCGTGAAGCAGCTACCTGGAACGTCACCTGGTTGCCGTCGTCGTCCGAGAGCGCCGGGAGGAGCTGCTGAAAAGTCAAGAAAAATTTGCATAAATTCGCAAGTACTCACCGGGAGCGTCACAAACATCCCCTTCACGTGGCCGGGCATGTCGCTGCGAGCCGAGCCAGGTCTTGGCAAATGACGGCATTATCTGACTGCAAGCTTAGATCAGGATGGAAGCATTTCCAGTTATGCAAATCAATGTTTTTCAAAAATCCCTTTGCAGAATGGCCTGATTATTCGCGGCGCTGGGCAGAAAACGGAAAAACTAGAATATCCTGAAACTTTATACAAAGATCGAGCCGGGGGCGCTGCTCATCGCCATGTACGAAAAATTTGACTGGTGGCTTCTGGTTGGTTAGAACCAGGAAACCCCGTTTCCTTGACGCCAGGAGCGGGCAATATGTCCCTGGCAATTCTATCAGGTAGTAGAACCGGTACAACTTTATTAAAACAACACCAAATTTACCAGCAAATTACAAAGAGTAATGACTCGCCAATGGGGGCCGTGGACTGGGAAGCTATCACGATCGGGGGAAATGGGGCACAATCTAAAGGTATTTTCCGGGGGTGACCCAACAAGCGTACACGCATAGAAATTTTTGTAGAAACAAACAGCCGTTTGAAAACGTAAAAAATGACAATCGTTGGGGGCAGCACAGGGGGAAGGCGTACGATTCTAAAAGCAAAAAAAACTAAGCTAGCCCTAATGAATGGGAGAATGGGGAATATGCTCGAGGATCGTTCCCTTCAGCGACTTCAGCGTGCCGACGTCGACGGTCAGCTGAAAAAACCTGATAAAAATTTCCAGAATTTTAGTTACCGTTTCATTCGGCATCACGTCGGCGTCAACCCAGGCAAACGCCAGCGGGCATTGTAGCCGGACGGAATAGCAGCCGGATGTGATTTGGCCGACACGCTAAAAATGCGTTTTAGAGAAAAAGGAAGGGGTCGAAACCTCGTCTGATCCCTCTCGTCGCAGCACCTCCATACCGGACGGGATAGCGCGGACCTAAAAAGGGACCTTTCTAGATGTATAAAAACCCCTACATCAATCGGCATCTGGGCGTCAAAGGTGATCAGGGCCAGCCGACGGTTGTACTTTTGTTTTGAGAGCTGTACGGCTGCCTCACGACCGATGAATTCCTAAAAGGGGATAGCAGCATCGGTAAAAAGGTTACCTTTCGCTCAAGATCCACCAAATTTCCAATGCCACTCTCAAACGGATTCGTGTCGAGCGTCAGCTCGCGGCCCCAAATCTTGTAGCCGTGCTCGAGCCGCATCATGTTCAGCGTGGTCTGCCCAAAGTTGACGATGCCGTGCTGCCGGCCAATTCCGAATATGGCCTAAGGACAATGTCATAGGGCTTTAAAAAGTCATAAATTACATCATAGAGCTTGGCGCTGTCGGCGCGGTTATGGAAAATCTCGTAGCTGAGCTGGCCGGTGGTGGTTGAGCTGCGGGCGGCCACCTAAAAAAATTATCAAATCAAAAGAGCGACGCATGCTTACTGTGGAAACTGGGCCCAGCCTCATCAGCCTCGTCGAGCGCATCGGGAATCCAGTGTCGGACACGTCGGACTTGGTGAGCTCTTGCAGAATCTAGAAAGATCGTCACATTTCAAGGCATTAAAGTACCGCTCGGCTGTTGGGGCCGACGAGGGCCAAGCTGGCGAGGTAGTGGGACACCGGATTGACCTAAAAATTGGATAACTGAAAAAAAATTGATGAGACACCCACCTGGACATCGAATTTCTTCTCGGCGGCGGCCCTCCTCAACCAGTAGAGGTCCCGCGATTCACGCTCGGGCTCGGTGAGAACCATGAATTGGGATCTGAAAACGTTGACTTTGGAACGCCAGAACAAAAAAATCTTAAAAAGCGATTGAGCGTTTAAATCTACGATTTTACTACAAAAGTTATAGGCCGAGGACCATAAAAGTAAATCAAGACAAAACACACCTTGCACTATCATAATGGAATATCTTCAGCGGGGCCAGCAGGCGACCTTTCCGCGTCAGCATCAAGCCCGAGCCGATCTTGCCGAGGGCCGGCACCTAGAAACAGGGGGGTAAAATTTGTTAAACATTTTTCCTTACCGGTCCAGCCATCGCGTACTCCATCAGCTCGCTGGCGTCCTTGCCCTTCACCTCGATTTTGCCCTTCCACGACAGGTCGATGAGGCCGCACTTGTTCGTCACCTGAAAAAAAATAATTTTGCCAAGGCCACGAGATCTACCATTTCGTACTCGCGAATCAGAGACGGCAGCGTGCCTTGGAAGTGGAAATCCGTCGCATCCGGGGCCACGTTGTCCTCGAGGCGGAACTGCTGGGCAACCTAAAAATCGAAAAAATGGATGGAGGCAGTCAAAGAATTTCACACGGGTTATGGGTAATTTTTCGAGCACACTGTGGTTTTTAAAAGGACAGAGGACTGACAGTTTTCTTTCAGGCAGTTAAGACCTTCCAAAAACCAGCTAATTCATTGCTAGTAAGCGTTCAGGTCAGTGCCAAGCGGACCGGACAATTCAGTGAATAAACAGAATTTGGCAAAATTCAGCTTACGTTGAAGTGGTTCGAGACCTAAATTTAAATTTTCGAAGGGTACATTCAAAATTCGAACCTCCCATCCGTTTCGATAACCAAAATGGCCGCCGTCGCGCTTCAGGCGGCCGTAGATGCCGGAAACGCGCTCCGTGGGTCGGGCGCCCCGTCTGTTTGTGTAGGACCAATTGTAGTACATCGAGTAGGTTTCGCGCGATTTCTCGACGATGAATCTGAAGAAAAAACATAATTATTGATGCTGATGACAAAAAACTCACTTCCTGTCAGCCCAAATATCGTAGCGCGAAGCATCGGTGTCGAAAAGCTCCGATGGAGGCTCACCGTCAACCATCCAGTCGGCCAGATATCTGCCGATACCTAAAAAAATTTCAAATGTGAAACTTTCTAAGCCATACCTCCAGCCGACGAGACACCGTCCAGGAATCCGGTCGACAACCAGTAGTTCTTTTCATAAGGCCCAACCTGAAACAAATAGAATAATAATCATAAAAAATTAACGTACCAGCGGGTAGCCGTCCGGCGACATACTAAAAACGGCAGCCTTGGCCTCAACCTCGGCATCCCGTAGCGCCGGGATCAGGGATTTTGCCTCTTCGAACGCTTCATCGAGCTTGTAGAAATGGGGCTCGATCAGCTTCGAGCCGCCTAAAATATTTCTTTGTTGTTAATTGGACTCACGACACCTTTCGGTACTCCACTCTTGATCCAATCCTCGCGGAAAACGACCTTATCGATACTCTCAAATCCGCCGAACAGGTATTTACCCTAAAAAGGGTAAATTATCAAAATACGAATTTACATCGGATGTTTTCCGGACGTAAAAAGTGCTGTCGTGGTCGATGAGTGCCGGCAAGACGTTGGGCGGGCTTTCTTTCGGCTAGAAACCAGGATTTTTCGGGGAATAACGCCATTACCGTGAGGACAGCGTACTGGTGCTCAGCTATGACCACCGGTAGCGAATGGCCGGTCAGTCGGGCGATGTCGTTGGCCCAGATCCCGCCGGCGTTGACCAAGTTCTTCGTGTGGATGAGCGTGCCGTCTTTCAGTCCAACCAGCCACTCGCTTTTCTCCTGAAAAAAGCGACATGTCCCATCTTTCGCCTTGAAAACTCACTCGATCATAGCGAATAAATTCCGGAATCGCCTCGTCCAGAACCTTGCCTCCACCCTTTTCAGTGCCAGCAATAAAAGCTCGGTTCAGTCCTTTGGCATTCACGTAACCGTCGTCACTAGTGTACAGACCGCCGAGAATCTAGAATTTGACATTTCGACTATCGAAAATGAGCTACCCGCTCCTTGTTCAGCACCGATGCCTTGTCAATGACTTGCTCTGGGGAGAGGAGCTCTGTTTTGCAGACATCACCTTCCTAAAACCACAAATTTTGTTGTAAGATATTATTTTCTAACCTTGTAGTAGTCCCTGGCAATGTAGCGCTTGAACTCGTCGAGACGAGTCTGGTTTGTGGCCAGCCGAATGGTGCCCGGCCGTTCGAAATGGACTTTCTAAGACGAATAATTCGAAAAGAGAATTTTAGACCTTACCTCCCCGGTCTCCTCCTCCAATTTCTTGTACAATTCCACGGAATAGGCTAGAATCGGCTTGTATCGATGCGCCGGATGAGATGCGGAGACCTAAAAAAATCTTCAAAGTCGCAAAAGTGACGAACCAATCCTGGAGAATGGAAGCTGGTTGCCGCCGCTGTTCCGCTTGCACCTTTATCGAGGAGCAACACATCCTAGAAAAAGAGGTAAAAGCAACAAAAAAGGCTCGGACCTTTATTCCTCGTTTTGTCAAGTGATATGTAAGCGACGAGCCGGCGACGCCACTTCCTAGAACTACGGCGAAGGCGTGGTGGGTCGAGGCTTCCCTAAAAAACCCAGTTTTTTACCGGAAGCTGTCTAACCGATGTTGTAAAATCGTGTGCGCTCTCGTTCGAAAGGCGCCACTTGCTCCGCGGATGTGGGTTCGGAGCATGGTTCCTGAAAAAAAGATAATTTTGATTCCGCGAGATCACAACTAAAAAAGAAAGTTTTGTAAAGAACAAAAAAGATGAAGAAAACCAGGAAAAGCTCTTTTCTATAAAAAGAGCAACAGCTTGTTTGCAGCTACGAATAGATAGATCAGCTGGAAGAGCTGGAAGTTGTTGATGGTGGCCTGGAAGGTTATTTGGGGGAGGAGAGGAAAACAAGGCGCGCGTGTTCGCCGCTTGCCGGCCGGGTGGGCCCTTAGATTTGGCCCGTAAACAATAGCAACGCCCAGCTGGGCAATACTCAAGCCAATAGAAAAAGCTTAATCGAAAAAAAGAGTTCATAAAACGGCACGTGATAAATCAAAGTCCTCGTGTTGTTCGAAAAGCTGGGCCATGATTAGCGCACGGGGGCAGCCGGGAAAATGGGTGATAACGGCTGAGAAACGCGGGGATCTGACTTAGAATGGTTTTTGCTATTAAATTGAGTTTTAGATTACAAGGAGTGCTAACGTTTTATATTTAAGGGAGATTTTGGATGCATTGTTTTACGAAGATAGTCTTTCACTGCCTGTCAGGGCGCATGGGGGTGGGGAGGGCGTGGCCTAGTGGTCTAAGGCGCCGGTCCCAACTCCAGGCAGAGGGTGCTGGTTCGGTTCCTCTGACTGACAGAAGCCCGTTAGGGTTTTGCACTTTTTTGCAAAAGGTACAGATGGGGATCCAAAACCGATCTAAAAGAAGCCCAAGCGGAAAATACAAGTTTTGCTATTTCCCGGGCTCTAAAGAAGAAATTGTCTCAGATGGTGCCGATTCGCTCAATAAAGGAATATCATAATAACAAAGACATACTGCCCAAATTAGCACCAATTCAATGATTTCAAGCCCCTTCATCCGTACAAAGCCGAAACCTTGACTAGCTTCAGTTGTTCAATTATTAGACTCTCATTCAGCACCTTTTTTACTTCCCAGGACCGCAGAAGTACCCAATTTGACAGTACCGGTTCTTTTCCGATGAATATCGGTTAAAAACCCGGAAGAATGAGGCTAAACGCAAAGAAAACGCGGCGCACAAAGCTCGTATTTTCGCAATTTTTCCGGCTTAAATCCTAGATAAATCCTTATTTTCACGCTAAATCACCCTTAAAACCCCTCCCATAATGTGCGCAAGAGTCTTCTCTATGTTTCGTATCGGTGGACTCCCCACAACAACGTCGTTTTCGAAAGTTATAGGCATTTGAAGTTGAAAATTTGTGAGTTTTTTTGGCCCCTTTCTTTGCCTCTCTCGAAAAATCATGGATCGGTGGCAGCATAGTGTCGCCGGGCAAGGAACCTACGGAGCGCCCCGACCTCTCATGAGCGCATTTCTGAATATCTGACAGCCAGTGCTTTCTCGCAAAGTCTTCTAAATTCTAAAAGGCATAGTATTCAAAAAGAGCAATAACTTTCTACTATTCAACTCCGACAAAAATTCTATAAACGCTTTCTAAAGTTCGGTTTTATACTTTTAGGGTTCGGCGGTACGAGGCGCGCCAATTTTGTGCGTTTGAAATGGATTTTCCCTGCATTTGATTACGACCGGATAATCTTCGCCTAATTTTTGCAAAACTTTTCGAATTCTCGCTTTCTAAATCTACAAAAAGTTGCTTTGAACTTTTGAACAATTTTTTGTGTTCAAGTTGAACTAACTAGAAGCACAAAACGAGATCTGGCGCTGGCGCGTCAGCCAAGCTTCTAAATAATTTCAAACGCGAATTTCCGGAAATTGGAAATTTCAGCGAGATAAAAAGTAAGAAACCCGGATTATTGTTGACCAAAAACGGAAGGCCAACAAGTGGAGGGAGTGCGAGTGCGGGGAGGGTGCCGGGGCGCGACGTAAACAAGCCGGCAGACCGAAAAAGGGAGGGTAGGGGAAAGACGAAAGGGGGAATATGCAATGGAATGGGAATGGAACGGAAGGGGGGATCGATTGAGGCAGGATGGCTCATCGCCTGCAGGACTGTGACACACACACACGTTGTTTAGAGGCAGCCGGTGGGAAAAAAACAAATCAAGGCTCATTGGGGGGTGAACACAGAAAGAGAAAGTGCCGTTTCCTGGAAAAAAAAAAGGGTGTAAAACGGTATAAGTAAGCGACGATTTCTAAATGACCATTAAACAATCCATAATTACATCGGTTTTTTTATAGTATTTCTCTTTGTTTCAATGATTTTCTGATAAGGCTTAGGCTTAGGGCTTAGGGCTTAGGGCTTAGGCTTAGGCTTAAACTTAGGCCTCTAATTAAAGAAGAAGCTGCAAAACCCGTAGTTTCAAGTATTTTAAATTCCAGAAAAACCCAAGGAAAGTTTCTAAATGTTTATTTCTCCGGTTTCGACTGTTTTCAAGCGCTTTCTCTCGTAGGCTGTAGCCTTTTCTAGGACCCATTGTCCGTTTCAAAACGTTATTAAAATCTTTATTAACTGACCGCTTGACCCGTTAAAATTAGAAGAAATGTATGCAAATTAAAGAAAATCGATAGAATAATTATCGAAAATCATGTCAATTTGCCCAGCTGCTGCTTTTTGATCATTTCGTGGATGGTGAAGAAGGTGGAGTCGATGATTCCGGCGACGGTAAAAGTTCCACCAACTACGGCGCATACCTACATTTTCGGTATTTGATTTCTACGTTTTATTTGGCACTTACTGATGTCAAAAACGTGTAAAAACTTTGTCGATATTCCACATGGCGGACCGTAATTGGTTGCAGTTCGTATTTGAACCAGACGGCCGGGATTACCTGGCCCGTGTGGTGGTATTGGAGGAAGTTACTAGAAGGTAGTTTTCCGGCGTTGTACTTTGTAGTTTACCGGTGTCCATAGGTGTATTGGTAGCTGTTTGCGACGTCTCCAGAGATGTCTTGGTAGACGGAGGGGACAATCTAGGAGATATACAAATTTAATACATACGGTGGTGATGACAAAACTCAACAATTTTTGTGAGAATATGATAAAAATAGTTAAAAATTTGAGGATACCTTGAGAATATATTCATGTGTGTTCAGCCCATCCACACCTACGCTCACGTCTTTCTTTGCCAACGGGTCGTAGGACCCAGTGAGAGCCATTTCCTTAAAAATGAGGTTTAACCGGTTTTAAGCGCTCTTAAAATAAGGATTTCTCAATTATGCACACATTTTTGACGTTTTCTGAAGCATAAAAGATATTAAAATGATGGAAAATGTGTTTTAAATAAAAAAACCGTTTTTTACAACCCAATTTTGTTTAAAAACTCACTGAAATATCATCTCCAAACGTCAATGAATGTATCACATGCCGGACATCTGGGTTTTCCGGCTGCGAGGCGGCCGAATGAGTGGAGAGGTGGAAATTTCCGGGGACCTGGACTCAATTAAGGTCAAGATTTTTATTTTTTGAGCATTTAATACATCATATACCAAGAGTTCTCGTTTAAGGCAAGCTTTTCTTATGATAGTTTCGTATAATACTAACCTTATTAATTTCAAATTGACTTTGGAAAAGGCAGCCTCGGCCATTGTCAATGGGAATCCTCTGCGTGTGGTCGACAAAGCCGACTTCGTGCCGGCCGTTTTCGTCTTGAATATCGACTCCCAGATCTGAAGCTGATCTTGTTAGCGCTTTTCAAAACCTAAGCCTAAGCCCAAGCCCAAGCTAAGCCTAAGCCACGCATAAGCTAAGCCTAAGCTAAGCCTAAACTAAGCCTAAGCTAAGCCTAAGTTAAGCCCAAGCTAAGCCTAAGCTAAGCCTTGCTGAGCCTAAGCTAAGCCTAAGGTAAGCCCAAGCCTACCCACTCACATTTACATTCCATATACGGAAACGAGACGTTTATCCGGACATCAATTTTCCCCTCTCTTCCCGGGTCATCGACGATAATTTCATCTTTTCTAGAGTTTGTAGGTTATTACTACAGGCTTCAACCTACACATCGATCCGAATATAAGCCATCAAGTCGTTGAAGAGCATAAAAGTGATAAACCCGACGCATATTATCGAAATTACAGCACCAGCAGTTGTCGGTTGCGTCAGGTCTTTCGGGATTTTACGGTAGATATCGAATCTGAAAGTTAGTACCGTAAAAAATGAATACCACGAACATATTCAGTAGCGTCGAGATAACTTACCTCCTAATATCCATCGTTGCCTAGTATAGCAACGATCTAAATGAAGCGTCCGAAGACAATAAAGTGTCCGTCGTTCACTCAATAAAAAGACAATAAATTTCTTGGATTTCCGTCCGGTTCCCAGACCGCGGTGTAAAGAAGGAAGCCCGGAAGCGGGAGAGAGCGCTGAAAATTGAAAGGGCATTAAATGTGTGGAAAAGTGGGCAAAAAAAGAAGGAGAAAAAGCCTCGCTAAAATCCTAATAAAATATCCTAATACGGTCCCTTTTGAATAAATCATGCAGTAATAACAGATAAAAGCCCAGTCATCACGACAGGGCTCTAAAACTACTTCAAAATCATCGATTTCCGCAAATTTCGACTTCCCAAAAGTGTGAGGTAAGATAGTCTAGCCACCGCCGCCCAATAATTGGCCAAAACGGGTTCATGCCTAGGTTCGGGACAAAAACAACAAATCGAAGCCTAAAACCTGCCCTCAATTTTTTTTGGGATTTCGAGAAATTTGCCCGGCAACGCGGGGCTTTGCTAGGAGGCTGCCAGATGCATTATGTTATGACTGAAGGGCGGGTGACGCAGAAAGCCAGGAAAAATCAAAGAATGCAGGTTTTTCCTTTTTGAAAGTTGTAACATTCTACAGGGTGTCCCAAAAAACCCCCCTCTGCATTTGGCCGTCTTTTATCGGATCGGGGCCAAATTTTTACTAGCGATGGGGACCCATAAAAACTATGTGCAGCCGAATTTTCGACGCAAAATATTGTAAGGCAAGAAAGTTATATTGAAATTAAGGTTTATTTTGCCAATTTCACTAGGATTTTGATGGATTAGGGCCTCATCAGTTTAGCAAAAATGAAGAGGGCACTTTTTTCCACCCGGAGGAATTTTTTGATTTACGAAAATTACGTCAAAATCGGGACTTTTCATCAATTTTTATTATCAAAACGAGCAGAAACGGACCCGAAAATGACAATTTTGGAGAAAATTACTCAAAATCGGCATGCTAATTTCGAAAACATAGCGAAAAATCGGTACTAGCGTTTTCCAAAAATCAGTTTTTTAGCGATAACTTTTTTTGTTTTATAGTATTTTGCTTAAAAAATTCGGCTGCACATAGTTTTTATGGTTCCTCAGCGCTGGTAAAAATTTGGTCCCGATGGGATAGAAGACGGCCAAATGCCGAGGGGGTTTTTTTATGGGACACCCTGTAGTTGCTTCGTATATCGCGTTCTAGACCAGCTTCTGCTTATCAGGCCGGGGCGGAAGAGCAGGAAAAGGATAGTGAAGGTGGGAAAATCGGGACTACTGTTGCGGACTGCTACGTGAAAGCGAAGGCCAAAACAATTGAAATACAGATAGAAAACGTTGGAATACAGCACAGATCGTTGATCGGCAAATTTTTAAATTTTAGATTTTCTATATTGTCAAAACGACAAGCTACTTTTCAATACAACTAGTAGCCAACGAGTCGAAAAATTTACTGTTTTGGCAGCGATTTCAATCAAATAAAACTCCAAGGTTAATGAGGCGGCACTGCGACAATATTACTTTAAATAGCGACTTGAATAAAGTTAAAAATTACAATTAAAATAGCTATTAATTGGGCATAATCCATAAAATGCCCCATCCGGTGTGCCACCCGCCTTGGGCGAGTCGGGTTAGGCGGTTTGGTAGACTGTGTTTGCAGTTCTTTCTTGGGTCTTACTCTCTCTCTCTTTCTCTCTCGCTCTCTCACTCTCTCTCTCTATCTCTCTATCTCTCTATCCCGCTCTCTCGCTAAGAATAAACAACTCGGGCTAGTGGTGGTGCCCGCGCCGATAGTATTGGAAGGTCTATTGATCTGGGTCAATATTGGGCAAAAATTGGGGGGGGATAGTTTACAGCTTGGAAAAGGCAGGTAAGGATGTAAATTAGGACGAAAATCCATCGGATTTAAGGAAATTAAGTGCATTTTGTAATCGGTATGTATTTTCAGTTTTCATTACACTAGAATTTATTTATTTCCAAAGCAAAACATCCGCAGCACTTTGTACAACACAGGTATTCGAAGGTTGAGCCCAGGGGAGAGGATAATTAGAAGCCAAAAAGCGTATTAAAATTTAGTATTTGTAGTGGTTGGTGGCCGGGGGCATATTCTGGCCGTAGGGGGAGTAGATTGGGGTTTGCTGCCGGTTGTAGAGGCTTGTCTAAAAGGAGGTTCTAGTGATAGACCGTTAATCTCTATATCTGTCTCGCTCTCCCTCTCTCTCTCTCTGCCTCTCACTCCCTCTCTACTTCTTTATCTTCTCTGTTCTCTCTCTACTCTCTCTCTCTCTCTCTCTCTCTCTCTCTCTCTCTCCTCTCTCTCCTCACCTGAGAATGCGCTGGGGAAATTCCACTCTGGGCCGACATCATGTCGCGACGCTGTTGCTTATCGCGGGTCCTAAAGCGAAAATTACCGTAATTAATATAAGTTTTTTTACCGGTTCATCAACCACACGACCAGCCAGACGGCCACGCCGATGATGACGAAGATGCAGAAGATGACGATCAACGCCACCGCCCAGCCGTACTTCTCGTGCCTGAAAAAGAAGTGCACGGACTATTTTGGCGCACTAATGACATGCCCAATCCCCCCAGAACCCCTGCTAGTTTTCTATTCTCGTGCTCTAGACGGAAAACGAACCAATACGAATTGGGGCAGCACCCGCCGGCGCAGCAGCCAATCTCCTTGTAGCACGTCTCGGTGACCGTGTTCGCCGTGTTGGCCACCGCGTACACGCAATCGTAGAAGTTCGGGTCGAGCTCTAGAAGTTGGTAAAAGTTGCAAACCAGCCAATAACCGGTATTTTAGGCCAAGGTAAGAGTCTAGAACCCCCCCAGCCGGCAGCAACTTTTGTATCTAGGCCCCCCTTGGTGCTAGCGAGCTCTAAAGTATACCAAAATGTTCGCCGTAGGCTAATTAGTAAGACTACATTGCAGTTCAGTCAAAAAACCGAGCGAAAATAAAAATAAGGAGGGTAGAAGAGTTGAAAGGTCGGCTGGGGGGGGGTTTCCTAGACTTGAGCCTAGGCCAATTTTGCATTTCAATTAAATCGAATTCTGCGCCACTTACGATTATAATCCTGTCGTATGAGGCCGGCCTTGACGAGCACCGAGCCGCTGTTGCTGCCCACCTGCTGTTGGAGGAAGGGGGAGTCGAACTTGAAAGATTTTCGTATGTTTGAAGATTTTGGGTTACCTGTCGTTGCTGAAGCAAGTTGTTGTTGTTGTTGTTAAAGTTATTGTTATAGTTGCCGTTGTATTGGTTGTTGGCATTCTGCTGTTGGTTGTTGCCGAACACTGATCGGTAGGTCGACGTCGCGATCGATCCTAGAAAATATATTGAATGTTCATGCGTTTTTGTATTATTTGTCTGTGGAATTTGAATGTAATGCAAACTCCGAAAATTTGTATAATTTTAAGTACGAAAAATTTCTGAAAACGGTCCAGAAAAAGCTAAAAAATCAATGGGTAAATTAGCTTTTTAAACAATATCGCTTTGAAGGAACTCGACCTCAATGGTCACTAGATCTACACAGTTATCAAAATCGGCAAAATAACGACAAAACGCCAAAATCCCGACCGGAAAATTGCGCCAAGAACATGTGGTGATTTTGGGCGTCGGTTTTTGCTGTCCGGATTTTGACTTGTCGGGATTTTTGCTGTGGGGATTATCCCCGGAATCCAGTCAGTAGTTATCAAAATCCGGGAGCCAATTTCGAATCCTTAGAGTGTGACAAAACCCAGAAAAAAATTCTAAGAACGGATCAATACTTAAAATACGGGTGTTTTGGCGTCTAGCGTACTTGTCGAGACCAAGCCAAGAAGGGGTCGATTCCAAAGCTTTCGAATCCATTTAAACACATTAAATAGCCATCAAATAAGATGTAAAAATAAGGTAAAAAACTGCTCTAACTTACCGTATGTATCCCAGCGCGACCATGGGGCCGCTGGCTCTGCTGCCATCGAGCCTAGAACCAAAATTACCATGAAGAATATTAGCATAGTGTCAGTTTTTCGAAATGAGGTTCAGAAAACGGGTAGAAAATCGATTAAATACGGAGGGTGGGTGCAATGAATCAGAGCCGGGGGGTGGGCCAAGGGAACCGGTGGGAGGCCAATTTTTCCGGGCTTTTTTCAGATCCACCTCGGCACCTAGGGCGCGCGGGGGCCCTATTTACCCGCTCGATCGAATGGTTCGGTGGATTCTGAGGTCGATAAAAAGCGAGATCGATTAAAAACAGCAAAAATGACAACAAAGATTTTTTTTTTAGGGTCCGGGGGCTTTGGGGTTTGGGCGACTTTTTTTTTATTGGGTTTTTTGGGGGGTTAAAAAACGTTTTAAAAAAATAGAGGGGAAATAAAAAAAAAAAAAAGAAAAATTTAAAAAAAGGAAAAAAAAAAAAAAAAAAATTATTTGGGGTTTTTTACATTTTAAAAATTTTTTTTTTTTATATTATTTTTTTTAATTTTTTAAAAAAAAATTTTTTTTTGAGAAAGGTTTTTTTTTAAATTGGAAGTTTTTGTTTTAAATAAAAACGAATTTAAAATTAATTGGGGGATGTACAATAGCTGGAGCAAATACCAAATGACAAATCTCAGGAAATCCACTATTAAAACAAAAAATTTGTCGTGCAGCCATCTAAAAAAAATAAAAACGCACCAGCCGACGGCCAATACGCTTTAAAGCATGAATAAGGAATCATAAGGAGAAAAATATAGGAGAAGATAAAAAAGAATAACTTTAGATAAGGTTACTATCAAAGTATCAGTAGCATAAAAACCACAAATTTTAACGTGCGGAGACTTTTTAACGTATTGGTGTTCCTTAAAACGAAAAATGATACCTTCTTGCCTTCCTTTCAAGCTCTTAGCAATTAAGAAAATGGTATGTTTTAACGTGTATTATTACTTTTTGTCTTGCCAACGCCTTTAAAACCTGGACGGTTCCACTCGGAAACTAATTACGCCAAAAAAGGCATGAACGGACAAGAAATCCGGTGGAATCCAGAATCGGAATCAGGAATTCGGTGTAGTCGGCCAGGGTGTACATGGGGCAACAGATGACGGAGTGATGGCAATGGTGGAGTGGGCCATGTGCAGCAGTGGGTGCTTGAGGGGCTTGTGTCGGTCTCTCTGTTCGCCGATCAGTCTCTTTCTCTCTCTCTCTCTCTCTCTCTCTCTCTGCCAGACCTTATGCCCTGGTCCACTAACCAGTCCTTGTGCCCCGGCTTCTTCTTCTTTGTCTGTAAGCCCCCTGATCACCCCCGATTACGGGCTGACGACACCCGCCAGCTTAACATGACGACCGCTAATTCTTTGAGGGGCCACCGACTGGGTGGTAAGGGACGGAATTTGATCTGACGGTAGAATAGTGGCTTCGATCGATCTAGCCTATTGCAGTAAGCCGAAGTTTCGCGCCTGACCCGAATCGTTTCACGAAAAAGAAGGAATATTGTCACACCGACGTTTTTCAACAGTTTTTGCTCGAGTCCAACTAGTCTGACGGCAAAACTGGGAACAAGCCTTTGAGTGAGCTCTAAAAAAACCAGGCCATAGATTTCCACAGTCAGCTCAAGCGAGCTAAGTTACAGCAACAGCTTGGAATCGTTGAGCTGGTCAATCTTGCAAAATGCTGTTTAAATTTTAGTACATTTTGGCTTAACGAATTAAATCGGAGGATAATTTATCGTGCGAGAATAGCATTCGCGATGTGTTGAACCCGGTTTCGCTATTAAAATCGCAAAAATAGCACGGTCTTTTGTCTACCTTGGTGCGAGAAAAGTGAGAGAGAAATCGAGAGAGCGAGAGAGTGAGAGCCAGAGGAGCGAAAGAGAGAGAGGGAGAGAGAGAGAGAGAGAGAGCAGGAGATCGGGTGAGTGCGATAACCAACTATCATGATAAAGATGGAGAAGAAGGTGTGAGAGAGCATGGGCCCACGGTTTAACTAATTAAGCAATACTCTATCACTATCACTTAAGACTTTTTGAAGCTGCTGCTGGCATTTTGACCAGTTGGAAAGTTTTGACGAAACTTAACTGAACTTAAAAACTTAAGGAACTTAAAAACTTGCATGGTGATGAAGCCAACGTAAAAAAATTGCTGCAATCAGCCTTAAAATCGTTGAATCAAAACGGAACATCAAAACTAGGGTACAATAGAAGAAAAAGGGAAAAAGAACGAATACCCGCGCGGTGTCAAAAGGGGTCGAGCGGAGGGCGGGGGGTGATGGGGTCCTTCAGTAAGGGGGCCCTGTGTATGCCGACCCGATGGTAGATGGGGGAGGGCCCACTAAAGGGAGAGAGACCCAAAAACTGGTCCGGATTCCGCGGCATTCCGCCATTCCGCAAACACGCACGCGCCACCCCCACGTCCCCCCAGCACGGTACTCGAGGGCGTCTTCTACGACTCTTTTAGAGGGGGCTGATGGTGCAATGGAAAGAATGGGGTGGTATGAGAGGGATTTTGAAATTGGAAACCTATGAGGGTGGACGGTGTCCGAAACGGTGAAGCCTGGGCGGTAGAATTTTTAAATATTAGGAATTTTAAAGGTCTATTCAAGCGTTAAATAGGATTCGAGATCAGGGATTGAACCCCGACGCCAACCGTACAATTCAAGCGCATAATTTTAACGCGTAAACGATTACGGCGACTGTGGATTACCGAGAATCTTAATATCGGATCCTTCACCGTCACGCAGGCCGTCATTCTGAAGTTATATTAAGGGTGCACCTCCATTTTTAAGCGTTAAACCGGAAGCTGAAAAGAGCTAATAAGTTTGCATGGGACGATACCAGCAAGATTTGAGCTTTTAGCGTTAAGAAAATGATTGATACTCGAAGACATGAAACAACTGTCATTTTTACCGTTTAAAAACCAAAATACATTAGTATGGGCCGGGTTTTAAAGGGACTGTTTTAAAGGGAAGGTGCCAGCAAATGTCGAGCCTCGGGAGTGGAGGGAGGGGCTGGATGAAGTTTAAATTCCTCCAGAATAGATTCAATTCTTTTAATTTAAAAAAAATCCGCAGCTATAAGGTGTCGGAATGAGAAGCGACGGTCAAGCTATCAGAGAGGATTTCGGAGCGAAGTAATGCCAATATTTTTTTTAATACAGCGACCGACGTAGATTACTGAATATGCGGTCGGGACGCCGTCCAAATCCTCCTTTGTTCTAGCATATCCTCTCCAAATTCTACCATTATTTGTTTAGCTGCTGATGCAATGCTGCTGACCGAAATTGCATGGCGAAATCTTCGGAACGGAATTTCGGAATATCGGAATTTTCCCGTTCAAATGCTCAGCCAAAAATTTGATTGCGGAAGCCTAAGAAAGCTAGGATGCTTTTGAATATCGAGGCCAGGCTTGTTGGCAAATTCCTAGCCACGACGACGATGAGTTTCGTAGATTCTGACCAGAGTCTCATTGCGAAATCGTCGTAAAACACTTTTTTAGGGGCCTAAAAGTTGCACAACATCGGGACCATGGTAGCCGGGGGTTTAGCGCCAACCGACGTGGACAAATTTGAGGACAAACAACTGTCCTGGTGCCCCCAGACACGCACACTTCTAGAACCTCCCGGCAGAACCACCGCGGATTAACGGTCGTGTGAAGTAGGGGGGCAAACGTTTAGAGGGGTGTTTAGGGGGTAGAAGCAGCGGATATCAGGGTAGCAAAGGTATTCTTTAAAACCAGCCGATTACAGCCGCTTCGCGACTGTAATCGACTGGCCTTCGCGCTACCCTCCATGTTATACACCACCACATTACACCTCTACCTTCATCAATACCCACGCTGGTCGCTTCAGATACCTTCTATGGCCAACCCCTGCTAAAACTTAGCTACTTTACTTGGCTTTAGATACTCCGCTAGCCAAAATCCCCTCAAAAAAACTACATCGATACCTTCCTGATGGCTTTAGATACCTCCCCTAGCCGAATTCCCCTTAAAAAACTACATCGATACCTTCCTGCTGGCTTCAGATACCCCCCATGGCTGAAATCCCCTTCAAAAACGACCTAAATACCTTCCCGATGGCTACAGATACCCCCCATGGCTGAAATCGCCTTAAAAAACAAAAATAACGACCGACCGGATGGAATGAGAGAAAAAAAGAAATGAAATCCCCCGTGAAAATTTTCATCCACGAAACGCGCGCGACCTGGCTCACTATGTCCAAAATCACCCCAACCTCCAGTCCCCCCTTTTACTAAGGAAAAAACTTTCAAAGTTAATTTTAATAATCCTACTATACAGTGCGTATCAAAAAGATAGAGCCACTTGGTTTTTCACCTTTAACTGCACGCCGTGGTATTTTTAGAGAAGCTAAGCATACACATCTTGTAGCCCTTGAAAAGGCGCATCTTTCCGTGTAGTCGAAATTCGTGATCGAGATTAAGCTTTTATGATGAAAACAAGCAAATAGAGCCAAAAACACAAGTATCAAAAAGATAGAGCCACAATTTGCATCCACTTTACATGCGCTCTGCGCTTGCAAATTAGATGGTAATTGTCTTGCAAATCGTGCGCTTCATTCAAATCTACGAGGGCCGCAGAAAAATTTTATCGCTCTAGCCATTTCTAAACGCGCCAATGAAGCCAACACTTAATAAAAAATTAGCCTTTTTATTGCTACTATTCAATCAAATTTTTCTGCGGCCCTCGTAGATTTGAATGAAGCGCACGATTTGCAAGACAATTACCATGTAATTTGCAAGCGCAGAGCGCATGTAAAGTGGATGCAAATTGTGGCTCTATCTTTTTGATACTTGTGTTTTTGGCTCTATTTGCTTGTTTTCATCATAAAAAGCTTAATCTCGAGCACAGAAAAATTTCGACTACACGGAAAGATGCGCCTTTTCAAGGGCTACAAGATGTGTATGCTTAGCTTCGCTAAAAATACCACGGCGTGAAGTTAAAGGTGAAAAACCAAGTGGCTCTATCTTTTTGATACGCACTGTATATAAAAAAATAGTGTCTGTGTGTGTGTGTATATTTGCATGCACTTCCGTTTGGATGTTACGCACCTACAGCCTCGGGGAAGGGTTTTTTTGGATAGGGAAGAAACGACACTAGGTTTAGAATGGTCCGGAATCGACTGCACACACATAAAAATTTTGAAAAATTGTGGTTTTCGCTATTAAAAATAGGTTTTTGTAAAACCCTGTTTGTTAGGGGAAATTACCATACGCCGGAAGTTGGAAGAGCCTATATAAAGGGACAGAGGAGCCGTTTTTCACTTTTTTCTTGCTAGAATTCAGGAAGAAACATGCAAATTAAGGACTTTCACAGGTCCTGGACGGGGCCAGGTTTGAAAAGCCGCGAAGCGGTTTTTCAACCCTGGTTTAAACAAAAACTTTTTCATAATTTTTTTATCAGTTTGGGGTTTCTGACCACGCTCTATCCGAACCGAAGGACCTAAGCTCTAGCTCCTTTCCCCTTCGAGTTGAATTCGGCTTCAGACACACACACACACAGACCTCTTTACTTTTTTATTATAGTGGATAAACCGATGGTATGCCAGAAAGCATTAATTGAGGGGTGAAAAGGCCAAGTCCTTAAGTGAATTTTCAAAATTTGGATGCTTGAATTCCGTAGCGTAATTTTTATGTAGAAATTTTCCGCCAAATATACCCACCTTTTCATTAAAAATAATATGACCAATACCTGGAGGCACTAATAGAACAGGCAAAAAACAAGAGCCTTAAAAAATTCAGGTTTTTTTGCTATGTTTAGCATAATTTTTCGTGGCTATTGTTAATATTGCTAAATACCGCAATGTACTTGTCTTCGTATTCAGCTAACACTGTAATTGTATCAAAAATTTATTGCACCAAATCTCCCAGGCCCTGCGATGAATGGGAAGGGACACCGATCATGTTTTTCCTAGTCTTTCTTGCACCCTAGATTCGTCGCCATCGGTAATCTAAATTTGTTAATGAATAGAAAATATGATAAAACTCTCAAAACCGACGTGGAAAAATTATAAACACACTTTCACCAGTTACACAACCCGGTGGCGGCGTGATGTAGTCACTGCAGACTATTGGGTTCTGGAAGCCGAGTAGGGGTGCCTGAACGTACATTTTTTCACTGGGAAAAGGAAAGCTCTATTGCAACGGATGCCAAAAAAAACGAGAAGGGGGAAAAGTAAAATCCCCCTGAGGAAAGAAGGGGGCCAAAGGGCTCTCATTGATCGAAAATCGAGAGTGAATGACGCCAGGGAAGTGCTTTCAACCCTATTTGCTTATTTTTTGAAACATGGCCATTGATCAATTGAGAGACACAATTGAGGTGGAGCTCACAACTTTAAAAATTAAAAAATTAAAATATCACTCACACGCGGGGCAGATCGGTCGATTCTTCGACCCGGTGCGGCAGCGGCCACGATCAGGAATAGGGCAAAGAAAAGGAATATTCTCATCGTGGACGAAAGCCGAAAAGCCGCTTGCCCTCGTTGGGATGGCTTTTATAATATCCGGATGACGTGTTTCGGGAAGGAGACGCGCCCCCTCATCAAAACATCTGCTTATAAACCAGGCGTCATACATAAGGTACATCCCATTTCGCGCTTCCGCCGGACATTTGATGAGTCATATTGTAAGAAATCGAGAACGCTCTTTTGCAACTATGAGCAAAGCGGAAGGAATTTCGAATTGCCAGACTTCAATGCTAATCAGCCCTGAACGGCATTTCCGGACTGTTCCTGACTCAGGAATTGAATTGCCTAGGACAAGGGACAGACTTCTGCTGCGTCAGGAGCTTTCTTCATGGGGATGAGAAAGCATCTGTTGGTCACCTTTTGAGGGAGGGGACCAACCGGAATATTTCCCCGCGAAATGCGAGCGGCCCGAAAAGAGGTATATTTTAATATTTAAAATATTACAATCATGGAGTTTACACAAGCAGATTGCCAACGTAGACGCCAGTTAAAGGGCAGATGACATTTGAGCTCCAAGAACGCGTTATGGGTACGGCGCGTATCATCCATCTATCTACAGAAAATCTTCCTCTCTCTCTCTCTCTCTCTCTCTCTCTCTCTCTCTCTCTATCCCTCTCTATCCCTTCTCGCCCCCCCCCTCTCCTCTCTCTCTCTCTCTCTCTCTCTCTCCCTCCCTCCCTCTCTCTCTCCCTCTCTCTCGCTCTGTCTCTTTCTTTCCTCTCTCGCATCCCTAAACGGAGGCGACAAACTAGCTGCAACCCTTTGCGATCTACAAGTTAGAAAAATAATAAGTAGTGATTATTTTCAGACGGCCCCTCACTCATTTTCTGGGAATCCGCATCTCCATTTCGACCCTAGGATTCCAGGTCAGTGCAGTGAATCTGGGAATGAAAGTGATACCGTAGGGAGAGAACAAGAGAGAGAGAGAAGGAGTAGAGAGAGGGAGAGAGAAAGCCAGAATGGCTCTTTCGAGACAAGCCTCCCCGAACAGATCCAGATCCATCCGCGAGACCTCAAAATCTGGGTCATTCGCCACCCTCTTCTCGTTGAGAGCGAAATTCGGCCCCTGCGGCGTGTCGGATGCGCGCGGGAGCGCTGGGGGGAAACCTTGACCCGCTTCTCCATACACACAAGCAGATTCACTCGACATCTAATGCTTTTCACCCCCGCAGCAACCATAAGCTCGGTTTGCGAGTCGGGTTTTTTGGCTTAACCCGAGCGATACGGATGGGGGGTTAGGGCCGGAAATTTCTAGAGGTCTATTCACGATTTTTTGACATTTTGGATCTAGATTTTGTGGATTTCTATCGATTTTGTGGATCTGTGAAGTTGAAACTTTGCATGAGATAATTTCTAGTGTTTTTTTTCAGCCATTTTCAGCCTTTTTCACGCTTGGGGGCTCCAATAAAATTTTAGGGCGCCTAAATAACTTAAAAATGTCAACCTAAATTTGCAGTTTTTCTAAGAGCTTTTTGACGCCTGTCTTAAGCGATTTATTTATATATTGGGGCCAATTTTTAAAAAATATGAAAATATTGACCGTTTCAGCCGGATCAGTCTTCAGATACGAGATTCTCCAGCTTAAAAAACAAACAATACCAGCCTTTTTTAGGATCTTGACACCCCCGTCTATAGGACACTTGTGTACAATTTTTTAGGATTTGGCGCGGGATGGCCGGAAAAGGACCAGTTGTGTAGTGACTGGGTCGATTGGGGGAACACCAGAATTGCCCGAGGCATCCGGGGGGTCTAGTTTTGTGGGGGATTGCCAACGATTTACGACTCTTTACGGCACCTCTGCGTGTTTCGGCGCTCGAAAATCACTTTGAAAAGGATTCGGTAGCGTCAATTTTTTAAGGTCTTGAGAGATCCGAAGTTTCCAATTGACGTACTGCGTAGCTTGGTGTACTTCGTAGGTCACTTTGAGAGATAGATAATTTCTAGTCCTTATTGAGCCGATTTCTCTTCCACTCTCTCTCTCTCTCCATACCTTCAGCATAGGTTTCATACTTTGATTATATTGTAGCCTTTATAAATCGTATTTAGTTCCTCTTTTTCCAGGGATGAGCCGTCTCATCGGCCTTCTGGCCCTGCTGGCCTTGGTGGCCGCCCAGGAGGACCCCAACCAACCCATCGTCATCCGCCTCGAGCCCCAGCCGCGCAAGCCAAAGTTCTTGGAGGAGGTTAGGCTGTTAAAAAGACGCTATGATTTAGATCAAGTTGAAATACCGTCAATTGAGTTCATAAACATTATTTTTTAGGTCTCGGCCCCACGTGCCATCCAGCCACCCCCAATTGCTGGCGGCATGGAAGTGCCACCACGGCCAGTCGAAACGGCCGCCCCGCCGATGGTTGCCGCCCCGGTGACGCAGGTATGGATTTGCTTGGTGACACGATTCCTTTAAAGGGATTGGCAATACAGGAAATTTTGTCAAACCGGTGTCCAGAGAGTGCGCGGCACGCAATGCCGCCGTGACGTGTTCGCATAGTAGACAAGTGCTAATTAGCAATCGGAATTCATAGAATTTGTCCTTTTCCAGCCACCCGTCGTCCCGGCCGCCATGCAGCCCGTCCAGACGGCTTCTCCCCCGGCATGCAGCAGTTCGTCCCCAGAAATGACGGCACTCCCCCACCCGCCCCTCCGGCCACCATCCCACCGGATGTTCAGAACCAGGTACCACGACTTCAACGAGTTCGACATTACCTCAATTCTTTGAGCTCATCAAATTCTTCGGGCTCGACTCCTTCGGAATCCCCGGTCTGACCGGAAGCCACCCAGATGGCTTCAACGGCGCCATCAAGGAGATGCGCGCTGCTGGTGTCCCGATTCAGGGACTTCCGGCAGAACATATCAACGGGCAACCTGTTCCGGCGCAGCCCTCGCCTGGTAAGTAATGCTGAGCGAATGGTCTAAATAACGTCGAAATTTCATGATATCAAAATTTCAAAATGGCGAAAATCACAATGTCGAAATTCATACAGTCAAAAATGTCAGAATGTCGAATTTGCATATTGGCGGACGTTTCGAATCGTTCGTTCGGATTCTTCGTTATGCCGAAATTTCATAATTCCGGAAAATCACCCATTAGGCAAAATCTTCGACAGATTGTAATTTCGACATATCAAATGTTCGGCATTATGAAATGTCGACATTGGAAAATTTCGGCATTATGAATCTCGATATTATGATAGCAAATCTGACCCCACCGCCTACATTACGCTCCTTTAGACGTGCTCGCCCAGGCCAACCCCAACTTTGCCAGCCAGATGAGCCAGGTGCTGAACGAGGTGAGCAACCCCAGCGAGTACCACCCCAGCTCGGGCATGGGAATGCCAGCCGATAAGCCCGGAGACAATGGACTCATCGGACTCCTCTCGACGTCCGTCAGGAAGTTGATCAAGGTACGTTATGCGCCGAATTTAGTAACTCCCATTATTCAGGAAACCGGAGTGTCCGACGCCCTGTCGCAGTCGCTGCCCAACCTGCTCGGAACCGGACCCCAGGCTCGTGGTGAGGCCAACACTGATGGAGCCGAAACTGTCGTGCATCGTGATCGCGTAAGTTGGGACGTTAGCGATGTCATCGAGATGTTCAGGCCGCCGGTGTGAAGACGCACACCCCCGGAGACTCACCCGTCGTCCAGTCTGACGCCATCTCCTCTTCCTCCAACATCCGCCGTCAACCTTCTGCCACTCAACGAGCCTTGTCCGGAATTGCTGCCGCTCTTGGAGGAGGAGGTGAGGACGAGACGTAGATATCGATTAGCGGGCATCCACCATACCGGCGGTGAACTTGTTGAGATCGATCGCTTGAGCTAAAATCCAACTTTTTGCTTACCCCTTGTTGAACTTGTCGAAGTCGGGCTTCCTCAAACCCTCGTTTTTCAGGCGGAAACGGCCCCACCCACGCTGGACTTCCCCGTATCCCCGGAATTCCCCTGCTCCCCGGCGGAATCCCACGAAACCAAGAAGGCCAAATCGACGTCGTCAGCCTGATCGGCCAGGTCACCCGCCGCATCTCCAACGGCACCACCCTTGCTGATGTTCTCCCGCCAGAGCAGCTCCAGGTTGGTCATTTTTGGCTCTTGGAAATATAAAAAATTAGCCGTACCTAGTCTATAACTCAAACCGCCCAAAGGCAGGGTCAGCAGCGTCTTCGAAAGGCTCAAGGGTAAAGCTCAAAATTTACAGACCCTTGCCGACAACGTCACCGACGCCCTGCTCCCCTCCACGCCCGAGAAGTTCGAGCTCCCCAAATTCATGGGCCGCTGGTTTGAGGGTATCAACTCGCCGCGTGCTAGCGAGCAACGATGCGTCGTCCACCACTGTAGGTTTTGGTCAACAAATTCAAGAAGTTTAGCAGGAAAATTACGAATTTGACCTACTTTTTTAGACGGAGGCCTCACCAAGAACGACAAGACCGCCACGTTTACCGCCCTGAAGATCTACCGCGAGGGCAGCGAGTTCGGCCCAGTCAAGTATTCGATCGGATATGCTTTCCGTGGCGGAAACAAGGACGCCATGCTCCAGCTGCACTCTTCCGAGACGAGTGATGCTCAGCCTTGTAAGTTTTGGGCCCCGGCTTGAACTCGTTGAACGTGTCGAGCGTGGTTTCTGGTCGCCTTAGCCACACCATTCCATGTAATTTTTCTGCCTTTTCAGTCTGGGTCTACAAGCTCGGCCCCGAGGGCAAGGATCCGTTCGGCAACTCGCAGTACGAGTACGCGATCGTGTCCAACTGGGTGAAGTACCCGGTTACGGTGCTCGTGCGTGACCCCGATACCTTCAAGAAGAAGTACGAGAAGGAGGTGCTGCGCTGGTTGGAAGATCAGGTGGGTCAAGATGAATCGAGTCGAAAAGCATACAAGCTACGGTAAAAGTGCTTCGAACATCTTCAAGAAGTTCGGCAGCGCTCTAGCTCGAACCCCCTTAGAAAAAGCCAGGAGCGGCTGCATAGAGCGTCTTCAAGCAGTTCAGCCAAACTAATCGGTCTGGCTTCAAAATCTCAATAAATTCGATCCTTACCGGAACGTGTACGAGTAGAGCGTCTTCGAGCAGTTCAAGCAAGCCAGCTAATCGACTTGACATAAAACGTTCCTTTAAAATCCACCCTCAAATTTTCAGGGCTTCATCAACGGCTTCGTCCGTGCCTTCAACCTCCTCCAGCCCGCCTCGTACTCCTCGTGCCAGTACGCCGACTCGACCTTCGAGGTGTTCGGCTAGAAACTGCCGCCAATAACTACGATAATAAGAAGGAATTCCCGATCTCGGACCTCATTCCCAACCCTCCCTCGAATACCAGCCACCATTCCTGTTTTTAAAGTGTGTAGTATCAATTTCATACTGTCCTCCTTGCGGTCGATCGCCCACTGTATAACCTCATGCACCGAAACAAGCGGCTTAAAAATGCCGACTTACCTCGGATGTCACCCCTGTGATACGTGTTCAAATTTTAATAAATGTTGTCTTTCACAGAGGGTATTGCAGGATAGAATAGACAACAAATTAGATAGAGAGAGAGAGAGAGAGAGAGAGAGAGATAGAGAGCGAGGGAGGGGGAGAACAACATAAGGCTAGAATCTCCTGCTATAGTTGAAAAAGCCGATTACAGGCTAGAAACCGCTACGCATACGCGACGCACGAGCAGCACATCTGCTACGCATCCGTGACGCATCAGCAACGCATCCGCAACGCATCCGCTACTCATGTGCCACGCACCCGCTACGCATTCGCTACGCACCCGCTACGCACCCGTGACGTATGCGTCACGCGTTTGCCGGGTTTTGCGCGACTAAAAAGTGGAAAGCGAAAAGCGAAAATGCAATGGAGCGGATGGTTCCGATGCGTGCGTGCGCGTCGCGTGATGGTAGAGGAACCCCCGAGACCATTACGCAACGCGCGATGCCGTAAGCGGACACGCGACGTAGCCGTTACGAATCATCCTGTCACGATCCCTTTAAAAGAAAGACAGTCTCCACGCACCTAAACCCGCGTTATCACCCGTAAAATCGGTGTGGGCTCACAATTCGATCGTGTCTGTCTGTTTGTATCTCTATCTGTATGTCTTCCTGTCTGTGTAGATGTCTCTCTGTATGTCCATCTGTCAGCCCACTGACCCATATTCCAGGATTGTCGGGGGGAGGAAGCCCGTTTCGGGGGGCGAATAGGCGAAAGTCCTTTCCCATCCTGTGGATATCGCTATCTAGCGTTTGCCGTTGATCTATATTTTCGTAAAAGCTTGAAATTGCATTAATTTTCCCCGTCGACAATGAGGATACTGTGCGCCCTCCTGGCCGTGCAGGCCGTCGCCGCCATTGGCGAGAATGCGGTGGGTCAATTTTTAGGATTTTTTGGTTGATTTTACAAAACTTTTCGACTTAGCGCATAAATATAGAACCTAACCGTTTTGAAGATGCTTTTAAAACGAGAATTTTTTAATTTATAAGATCTTAGAACATTCTTAAAGTCATTAATGCATGAAATTACGGCGTAAAAATGTACCCGTATTTTTTAAGGCCGAATTTTCTTGTCGAATTCGTCACCAAATTTACCTCAATCCCCCTTCAGATGGACCTCCAAACGATCACCGGCATCATCAGCGGCCTGGGCAGCATGGTTGGCCAGACCGTGGAGACGATCAACCTGCCCGCCGAGCTGTTCATGGGCAAATGGCATCAAATGTACAAGGCGGCCATCAACTTTGATGTCTTCAGGACGCAGATGTTCTGCCAGGTGTCGTACTGTAAGTCACATACCTTGAGCAGCCCATTCTAGCTTTTTAAAGGCACTCGTAAGCGCTGTAATCGACCCTTATTTCGACTAGGTCTCGACAAGTACGTGGGATGGAAAACGACGCGTTTAAACGACGTTTTTCTATAAGATTTTGCGCTTTTTGGGGGGCTTTGATGATTAATTGTCAAGAACTAGTCAATATTAAGGTTGATTTTGGCACTTTCCAGTCCCTCCAGGATCCCTTTAAAAAGCATAAAATTACAGAAATATTTTTAGTCAAAGAAAACTCGGTGATGGGCTCGGACGGCTTCTCGATTGAGGAGGCCTACAGGGTGGTGTCGAAGAACGGGCCGATCGAGACGTACAAGCGCGATATGAACAAGGTAATAAAATACCTGTCATTAATAACCTTTCAAATATAATTAGGCAATCCCGAAAAAAACTTAAAAAGCCGGAAACGAAACTTAAATTTTTTGTTTCAGGTCGGCCCCGGCCAGTACTGGATGTATACCGAGGAGTACTTCTACCCCAGACAATGTAAGGGAATTACTTAATTTCTAGATATTCTTGATTTTAGTCTATATCCTGCACGCGGGGCCCGGATACGACAACGAGACGATGGGAACTGAGGCCCCGGAAGGGATTCAGTACCTCGTCGTTTCGGACTCAAATCGACTTTCCTTGATGGTGATGGCTAGGGATCCGAATACGTACTATCAGGTAAGAGAAAGGGAGAGAGAGAGAGAGAGAGAGAGAGAGAGAGAGAGAGCGAGATAGACATGGAAAGCGAGCGCGAGAGAGAAAAAGAGAGCGAGAGAGAGCGAGAGAGATCAACAAAAAATTCCATGAACTTCAACACTACCTCTCTAGAAATACGACGAGGAGGTGAAAACCTACCTGAAGACCAAAGGCTTCGGCGGCAACGTCTTCTGGAACTCCCCGAAGCCCATCTACCAGGGCCAGGACTGCGAGTGGCCCACCGAAAAAGAGGTCTTCGCCAGGAGGTTTGGCCTTATTAGACCTTAAACGAGACTCGTAAAGCAAAAATCGATCGATTCATCGTTGACCTTGCAGGGTGCTGAAGAACCAAGAGGCCCTCGAGAAGTCGAAGCAGAACGCCGTCACGGAGAAGAGTGCAATCGGGGATTCCCCTCTGGCCGACTTCTTCAAGAACCCGACAAAGATCCTCCAGGAGCTCGCCAAGCAGTAGATGAACTTATGGATGTTTCGACTTTTTTGCTTACCCCCGGGTCTCATTTGCACACATTCCGTTTGATAATGGCTTGATGAATAAATCTCATGAAATTTTTGCGTTTCGGGTGTTTGGAGGTCAGAATTCGCGTTTTACTCGAGGGCGAGGTCGAGAGGGTCAGCGTTAGAGAAAGAGAAAGAGAGTGAGAGAGGGCTTGAGGGGGAGAGAGAGCAAGAGAGCGACCGAGTAAGGGCAAGCGATGGACAAGAGAAAAGTGAGTGCCCGAGAATTTTCCAGCAGCAACGAAAAAACAACAAAAAAAATTTAATCGGCGAGGGACAATTAAAGAAAACAGAGAGAGAGAGAGAGAGAGAGAGAGAGAGAGAGAGAGAGAGCGAGAGCTGGAGAGAAACCGTAAGAGAATCAGGAAGCATTAAAAATTTGGCAAAAATTTCTGGATTTTTCCCTGAAAGTCCAGATTGTCCATGTTACTACTCTGTCCATAACCAGTAACCCGCTCTGGCTGTTCGCACCCGGCTGTCCACATCTCCATTCGCGGAATCCGGTTTTCCAAATAGCCATAGGCGCGCGCTCCTGGGGAATATCCGTAGACCCGGGGAACGAACATGCGTGACGGTCTTTCTTCCCCGAAGGGCTCGACCCAGTTCTTCACTTCGTCCTCGTCCTCCGCCACCTCTCGCTCCCTAGGAAATCCCGGGATCACCAGGCGCCGCCGCCGAAAATTCGGGTCGCCGTGCCTCGGCGTGCAAAGCCGCCACCGCGCCCCGCGCCACCGAGAAATTCGGCCTTTCTCTAGGTTTCTCCAGGCCCATCAGCTTGGCTACGGTAGTTGATTGGGATGTGTAGCGCCGCGTACACTTTCAATTTTCCCTTTTCAGGGTGGTTGCTATCAGCATGGGTGAGCGCGCACTAGGTCAACACACCCGGGAGGGGGGAACCGCCTTGCTGGGGTGGGTGAAAATTGGGGCTTGGATCTCGGACTGATGCCGGGGGGAATTGGGTTATCTTTTTGGGCTTTTCGGGTCGGGAGTTAGTGCTTTTCTTCAGGCTTTATCTCGCCGAATTAATTTATTGATCTTAGCGTAAAAGCGAAAAGCGCTTTTGTTTTTATCGTTGTTTAAATAATTTAAAAAGTTGTCATGTTATGCTATGTTATGTTATGGCATTAATTCGATCTCTTCAAGCTCTCAGCGAATTTATTGTTGTTTTTATTTTTTGCCGATTCAAATCAATCGATAATCGTTAAATTCTGGTATTTTTCAGAGCCGCCATGCATCTGGCCCTCGCCCTGCTTGGGCTCGTCGCCGCCGCCCAGGCGCAGCTCGAGCCGTTCGGACCCGACAGGTCAAAATACTTATTTTATCGCACCATATTTTTGGTAACTGAAACTGAAATTTTACGGGAATAACGGCCCTTAAAAAGCCCAAAAATTTTAAGCTAAAAAAATCGATAAACCCGAAGATCCGAATTTTTTGGTGATTTCCGTCAGTATTACGTAGTACGTCCTCGTAGCCGTCGACGCGCACATTTTTTTTGCCCTTTTTCTGCTCATCAATGCCCAAATAGGGTCCCCCCGGCCGGCCTTGGCCTGGATTCGGGCCTCATTTCCCTCAATCGGCTCCCCGAACTTTTTCGTTGCAGATTTGACCCAAAGCCCACGGTGCCCCCAGAGTTCCGCCAATACTTTGAACTTGACGGGCACGCCCGCGAACTTGTCGACTCGCTGCTGGGCCCCAGGTAGGAAAACTCGGTTAATTGGCTTAGGTTTGGCTTAGGTTTGGCTTGGTCTTGGCTTAGGATAATGCCAGGCTTAGGCTTCGGCTTGGCACAAGCTTAGCTTAGGCTTAAGCTGTAGCTCAGGCTTGGACTCAGGCTTTCTTTACGCCGGTTTTTTAGGCCCGGCGGCTTCTTCCCCGAGAAAACCTACGAAATCGGACATGGTACACCTGTTGCCGCCGAAGGTGGTGCTGCTCAGCCAAGACATGAGATTTCGAAACTTGAGCGCACCTTGGAGCAGTTCTTCACGGCCCCTGAAGGAGGTCAGAATCAATCCGGAGTTGCGGAAGCCTTTTTTAACTTTTAGAAGCCGCCAACGGCTTGCCACCCGGCTTCGGATCCGGCTTCTCGGTGCTGAACAACCACAAGCAGATCGCTGGGACTGGGCTTCAGCGTGATGGCAAGCAACAGGTATGATATTTAAGAGCCTCGCTGTTAGTTGCAAAAAGCGAGAGCTAGCAGTGGTGCTTTGGGAAAACAGAAACTAAAATGTGTACTTTAGCACATCAACACCGACGGCAACTCGATCGCCGGAATCCCGAACGTCTTCCCAAAGTTGCCCAAAGCGCCGATGATGAACCAGCCGACAGTTGCGCCCTCTAGAAAACCGGTAAATTAGTTTAAACTTTACTTAAAAATTTAAATAACTAAAGAATTTGATAAGTTTTAGTTGATCGCCGATGACTTGCCAGTCATGCCAAGCATCGAGGCTGCTCCAGAGGTCCCTGAGGGTGGTATGCTGCCTTCTGATGTTCGTCGTGCTCCGGAATCTGTTGGAGACGTGGGTTGTGCAGTTTTAGGCGCATTAAGGAAGGGGTGAAAAGCTCTTACATTAGCAAGCTAGCAGCGATCCTTGGGGATAGATTTCGAACCTCCTTTCTAGGTGCCCCTCGATGACAGCGAGCCTGGAGATGGTGAATATGGAGGTCTGGCCGAAGAGACATCGACTGGAGGAGGTGGCCTCATCGGCACCATCCTGAACCTCATCAACCTCGGCTCGAAGAAGGTCAAGGAGGGCGGCAAGCCCGGATCCGGAAACGCCACTGCCATCGGATCGGCCGTCTCGAACTTGTTGACCGGGCCCAACAGCCCGCTGCCCGGGTCGGATTTGAAGAACTTCTTCTCGAATTCGCTTTACAAGGTTGGTGGGCGAGAGAGAGAGAGTGAGAGAGAGCGAGAGAGAGAGAGAGAAAATGCAACATTTTCAGGCCCTGACGGCCGGTTCCGTGCAGAAGAACGAGACGGACGCCCCCGGAAATGGCACCGAACTTACTGACGCTCAGAAGGCGGCCATTGGCGAGAATCTGGAGATGATCCAGAATTTGATCATCCAGCCGTCATCCCCTCTTTGCACGACCAAGCCTGAACCTGTTGATTTTGACTTTTACGCCTTGTTGGGACAGTGGTACCAGGTTGGTAGCGAGCGAGAAAAGTGAGAAAGCGAGCGAGAAATCGACAGTAAAGAGCAAACATCAAATAAATTTTAGGTCGTCTACTCTCCACCGCTCTCCCGCGGACCCTGCAGCATGGTCGTCTACAAGAAGCTGTCCGAGAACAATAATGGAGGTGAGAGGCATCTTTATTCGATTAAAATTGCTTTTCTACGGGTTTCAAAGTTCCCCAAAAAGCCTATTAAAATGAAAATTTCTATAAAATCCATCTTCCAGGCGCCGGCAGCATCTTCGAGACGTTCGAGTACGCCACCGATGGCACCCCAAATGCCCGTCCTTCTATCATGTCTGGTTATGCCATCGTCAAATCGGCCGGCGAGCTCATCTTCCGCACGTCGAGCAACAAGGAGGACGTCAATAGTAAGGATTTGGAGTGCGCCCATTAACGCTTGCTATTCTTCTAGTCCACGTGCTCCACACCGGCCCGCTGAACGCCAACAACGAGTACGAGTTTGTGGTCATGTCGACGAACTGCAACTTCCCGATGTATGTGTTCGCTAGGGATCCCGTCGTCTACAAGCAGGTAAAGGTTTTACGAGGTTTTTAATACTAAAATTAAAAATTTATACATGTTAATGCTTAAAATGATTTAATAGGAGTTTTATTACTTCCCAACCCGTTTTTATAGCCGATTAATAAGTACTGCATCAAGGTTAAAATTTCATAAACTGACATAAGCATAGAATGTCTAAAAAATCCTTTTATCCCTTCAAAGTACCTGGAAAATAAATAAAACAAAATAAATAAGTATGAGCTGTTATATTAAAGATCTTTTCGTTAAAATTGGTATTAACGGTGAGCTAAACTTATAGTAGGTTAACAAAAAAATTAAAAATGTACCGAACCAATGTTACCTCAAGCCACAGGGGCTCAAGCAGTAAAGGATCCGGGTTCCATTTACCACACTAAACCCCTCGCCGAGCCGATGGGGCGGCCAGCAAGTAACGAATGGTGGATGGGGTGTTGCGGAAGGGTGTCGAACCCGCGCCTTGCGGCTGGGGGCCCCCCGTCCTTACCAATATACCACATGGGCAACAGGGGGAAGCGGAGAGGGGGCGCTCTTCCGAGGTAACGCTGGGCACGGGGCCGACAATTTTGGGTCCAGGAAGCTGCTTTTTTTGATTAGATGCTTATTTAATAAGAGTTGCATATAAAAAATAAATCGGCAAACGATTTCCAAATAATTCTTTGGAATATTGATGCTTTCCCGCCCTTATTAAATAAAGTTTTTTGATATATGAAATTGTAAAACCGAATTTATCCTTTTTCGTTAGCACTAAAAAGCGTATTCAAACGAGAACGTGTAACGTTTAAAACGTTCTAAGGGACTGCTAATTCTAAGGAAAACGAAGATAAATTCGGAATATAGCAGAATTATAGGAATAAAAATAAAATAAAATTGCTATTAAAAACTAGAAAAACTGAAATACAGGATTTCCCTCCCTGCCTGGCGCGCTCTCTCCTCTCTCTCTCTCTCTCTCTCTCTCTCTCTGTCTCTTTCTCATAAACCCTTTTTTTTCAGCGCTACGAGACGGCCGTGATGGAGATGATGGAGAAGAAGGGCTGGGTGAACGGCTTCTCCCGCCTTCTGAACGTCGTCGCCTCTGTCGACCAGTCGATGTGCAGCTTCCCGCCGTCGCTGTTCAACTACCAGGGCTAAACTCGAGCAATGCTACAAAAACTAGGATTTAAAAGCATTTTCATTGTCTATTTTTTGCGTCCACCTCCTGTCTTTCATTCTCCTAATATTTTTAAAAACTACAAAACTTGTTATCACTGATTTTAGACCAAAATTAATAATTTTCTCAGATTTATAAAAGCCGCGCCTGGAGCCGGGCATCAAGTGCATTATGCTGTACATAGTGATTAGTTAATAATATTCATAATAATGATTTCTTAGCGAAAATTGCATGTTTTCTTGGTCTTCCGATCTTACCCCACTTCGAGAGCCATTCCACTCCCCCGATTTCCCCACGTGTTTTACATGTTTTGATGTCATTTCGATGAGATTTTCGTGTGTGTTTTCATTGCGTAATAAATTATTGATTTAAATATATGGTTTTAATACGCATTAAAATTCAAAAAGAATAAAAATTACGATAAGAATACATCGCAGCCATCGAATTTTTTTTGGCGGAAATGTCAAAAAGAACAATTTTTCAAGACTGGACCCGTTTTTGTAGCGTTTTTGCTCCTGAATTTCTATCTGACACTATCAGTACCGTATCCTCAAAAGCAGACAGCATCCCTGAAGGTCCTCACCGGCTTATCACCGATCCCATGAAAATCCGGGTTAGCGAAAGCGAAACTTCAGAGCCGCGCTTTCGGACCATACACGGGCGACAGCTCGAAATCTAGGCCAAGAATATCCGGCTTGTGGGAGAGAGAGAGAGAGAGAGAGAGAGAGAGAGAGAGAGAGAATGAGCTCTGGGTGAAATCCTGACCAGATCGCTGGCTCCAGCCGGCCCCCCCGGGGGTACAGTTCTCTCACCGTTTTCCATTTTTGCAAAGAAGTATATAGATTTTTTGAGGCTTTTAGTGGTTTTCTATCGTAGGCTGCTACCGTCCTATACCATAGTAATTATCTATATCTTCAGAATGAGGTGTCTTTTCTTGGCCCTATTTGTGGCCACCGCCTTGGCGGCCCCGGCGGAAAAGGAGGTCAAGGAGGTCAAGGAAGAGAAGGTATTTTTTTAGAAGATCAAAAATAGCCACTTTAATGAGCAATATATGAAATACTTTAAGGTCTTAGTAGATTTTTTATTTCTTTAAAGTGCGTAAACGCAAATTTTTTCAGGTCGAGCCTATTCAACCCATCCAAGACCCAACCCCAGCCCCTCAACTCAATGAGAAGCAGCGACAGGAGCTCGCCAAGGTATTTTTGATCCCTGAATTCAGTAGGCTTTTAATTCTAGGTCGGAGAAGTCGCCGAGAGCATCCTGACCCGTATGGGATTCCGCGGGGATACGCGCCGCGCTCCCCCCTCCAACTTCAACTACCAGAGCGATGACCTGAACTCGATCGTGGATGAAGCCGCCACAAACAGAGTGGATCTTCAGGGTAGGTTGTAGCTTGTAGGTTGTAGTCTGCCAAAAAATCGTAGAGGAAACCGAACGGTATCAAAAAGGTATCGATAGGCGCGAAAAACTGTATAGGTTGCGATACAGTATCACAAAAACGTATAATAGGCTTCGAAAATTGCATAGGTATCGAACTATCGATTTTTAAGGTATCGCCTCCGGCCAAATCCCCGGTCTGGCTCCGATCCCAGTGCCCGGCTTCCCAGGACCTCAAGATGTACCCACCGTACCTGGCGTCAACACCATCCCCGGGCTGTCAAACTTTAACTATATTGTAAGTTTTGAGCCTCGGAAACAAGCAGAGATTCTTTGGGAATCTGATGATACATATTTGTCTCTCTTAATTCTTGTACTCATTTTCCAGGTCGGTCAACTCGTCCCCCAGATGATCCCACCGGCCAACACTCTTCTAGGCTCCTCGATTAGCCGAATTTTGCCCAAGGTAAGTAGCTTAGGAATAAAGCTTAAAAACGACGTAATGATGATTAAATGCTGAATATACCGATCAAAATACCTTAAATATCTATCATAATTACCAGGACTCTGCCAAGAACCTCGCAAAGGACGTCTTCAAGGCCATCCACCCCGCTGCCGAGAATGTCGACACCGCCAGGATGATGGGACGCTGGTTCCAGGTATTTTAATGTTTTTATATACCTATTACCATTTTCATCTAAGTTCAAAAGAGTATCTCATACTTCGTTTAGGTCATCAACAGCCCGCACGTCATCCGCGAGGCGTGCACCGTGCTTCACTGTGGGTTTTTGAGGTGTTTTTAGAGCCGAAAAGCGTGGTTTTTCGATTTTTTTAGCATGGATAATCTACGTTAAAACCTGGGTTTAAGCGACCTAAATCTGATACTTATTTTGTTTTAGTCGGAGCTCAGAGCAACAGCACCTACGCCGCCACCTTCACCCTGTTGAAGTTCTACCGCGAAGGAAACGCCAATGGACCCCCACGGTATGATTTTCAACGGTTCTTTCAGTTTCAGGCATTTACTATAGCCATTTAAAATGAGAGTTTATTCTTTTTATTATTCTGAATACTCGGATGCTCTAGATTCTCCCTGGGCTACGGATTCAAGAGCGGCGAGACCGGCCAGTTCGTGCTCCACACATCTAATGCCCCCGATGCTGAGCCTTGTGAGTTGTTGTCGTTTTTAATGAAGAAAACTATAGACAACAAACTACAAAAATACAAATCAATTTTTTCAGTCTGGATCATCAAGAAGGGACCGCTCAACGAGTACAACCAGTACGACTACGCCATTGTGTCTAACTGGGTAAGGAATTGGGCCGTTTTTAACGTATTTTGGCTTAGTATTTGGCCGAAAATTCGGTATTTTGGCTCTAATCGTACTACAGATGTACCAAAAAAGACGATCTAATTAATTTTTAGGTCCGTTTCCCCGTGTTCGTCATCGCCAGAGATCCGGCTCGGTTCCAGAAGGAGCACATGAAGAACGTGCTTGAATTCTTGGAGGCCAATAGTGAGTTTCAGGCCTCGAAAAGTAGAAACAGCTTCATAAACGATCCCTGCTAGCTTGCCTTCAAGTTCTTGCTCGTTTTTGCATTAAATATATTTAATGTGGGCGAATTTGAAGTTTTTTTAGCTTTTCTAGAATTTCGATCTAAATCTAAAAAGCCAGGAATTTTCCAAAAAAATCTAAAATCAATTTATCCGTTTTCGAGAGCCCCTAAAATAACGTTCAATCCACAACTTCTTAGACTACATCAACGTCATGACGAAGGCGTTCAACATGATCTCCCCGGTCGACTACAACGCGTGCCAATACACACCCACCTTCAGCACGGCCGGCTAAAAAAACGCCCCAATCACCGTATCCCCCCAGCTACTCTTCGGGTCCCACCAGCCTTTCATCGGCAGCAGTAATTTGCATACATTCCACTCGATTGTTCTCGTCCCCCCGCATTACGCACTGTTTTTTTCGATTTATTGAGTGTACAGCGATACTTATAAACATAATAAAGTCATAAAAACATATAAAATGAGCCACTGCATTCGAAAACTGCTCTTAAAGGAGTTGGGGAATCGAAATTGACTTGACAACCCCTTTAAAAGCACAAAATGAATACCCGATAAGTAAGAACGATGAATACATTCTTTTAGCTATTATACATATCCTTCAAGCTATTTTTTTTATTAGAGGTTGCGAAAATGAAAGGAAAATTCAATTTTCACATAGAAACCAAGCGAAATCGGTCGATTTACATGATGGTACACTTTGCGCTGGCCGCCGGATCGCCGCGGAATCCGTTAGATTCACGCTTGTGGACCGAGGTCTTGGCACGATTCATCAGAAGATCTGTGCGAAGAGATGGGCGTCTGGCGTTGACGTCGGTATAGCTGAAAATTGACGAATTTGAAACTGAAAATGTTTTCTGCATTAAGGGGTGTTTGCAGGGAGGTATTTTTTAAAGGGCGGGCAAAGCGCCCGGCTTCTCTCTTTCACTCTCTGCCTCTCTGCCTCTCTCCCCTCTCTCTCACTCTCTCTCGCTCTTTCGCCTCTCCCCCTCTTCCTCTTTCTCACTCTCTCTGGCTCACCTCTCTCTCTCTCTCTCTCTCTCTCTCTCTCTCTCTCTCTCCTACCTATCTCTCTCTCGCTGCCTCTCTCTCTGCGGCATCTCACTCTCGCGCTCACTTTTACTCACTCTCTCAGACTCTCGCTCACTCTCTCTCGCTCTCCTCTCCCTCCCTCTCTCTCTCAATTTTATCGATATCTAACCCTTCTTAAGCCCAAACCATAAACCGCCTATCGGCTGATTCATATCCCGATTCCGTTCAGAATCTCAAACACCTCATTCCCTAATTCGTGCCCGATTTCCCGCATGGGAGATCGAGTCCGATCCAATAGATTTGGGTCAGCCCCGCCGGCTAAATGGTTCATTACGGCGCGTCGTGGTGACAGCCGGTGGAATGTCTCAAAATCGGGATGTCGATTTTCTTGGGAAAATTTAGAGGGGGACGAAATGGTCATAAGAAATTGGAACCTAAAGCCGCCTTCAAAAATTGGGCATCTACTTGTCTCGCGACCTCAGCTTGGCTTCAAAATCTCTTTAAAGGACCCTGGCAGGTATGCCAGATTTTACGGACTATTTTTTTTTTTTGTACTGCTCTAAACATCGTAAATCCATACCCAAAAATTCATACATTTGCCTTACCAGTCCCTTTAAAGCTCCCCTACGCTCCAAAGTTCACTATTTTGCCAGCTACTTACACAGCCAATTCGTCATCGCCGTCCTTGCTAAATTTTGATCGCATCCGCCGCAACACGTTTTTCGACCCGGTAGATGTACTTGTTTCTGAAGGAGCTCAATGAAAACTTGAAAATTGGCTCAAAATATACCTCCATCGGCCGACAACTCATTCCTCAGCATTTTATGCAACTCGGGGTTCATGTGTTTGGGGCATTTGGCCATTTGGAAGAGCTTTCCTAGGGCCTAAAAAAGCATGATATAAGACGATAATTTTTTAATAATGCGAATTGAAGGTATATATCGGCAGTAATGACTCAAATCGTACCTTATCAACATTTTCTCCGGTAGCCGCTGAACAC